CCTACCCGGTTTGGGGAAAGGAGCCCTACAAACGCGTGTTTTCTAGGGCTAAGATACTTAGAGGACCATGGGACTTAGCAAGTAAGGTTACAAGTACCGCAATTGGTGATGCAAGTATCTACAAGGATAGCTACCTCATCTATCACCCCACTTACAACGTCCCGTGATCCTTCAAGTACATCCGAACCCCCCCCCTTTTATAGAACCCTCATAGTACACCCTAAACCCCCCTTGTAGCATCCTCAAAGTACACCCTCAACTCCCCCTTATAGAGCCCTCATATAGCTCTTCAAGGAAACCTTTGTGGAACCGAAGTCCCGCGATCCTTCAAGCCCAGGTTCCTGAGTAGTACCCTTTTGAGGGTTTAGGGTTTAGGTTTTGTACAGGGTTTAGGGTTTAGGGGTTAGGTTGTTTTAGTTTGGGATCTCCTTATTAAAACCGAATACTTGTAAAAAAGGGTGCCGTTATTCTAGGAGGGCTACTCAGGAACCTAGTCTTGAGAGCCGTGCCACCACCATCGTCATCCCAACTATCATCATAAGCGCGGTTTGAAATACTAGGGTATAAGAAGGCTACTCAGAAGTCTAGAAGTACTTGAAGGGTCGGGGGACGTATTAACTGATTTTTAAGGACTTATAAGTACCATAACCCCAATTAGTGTCCCTTTTAGGGTACTTATAAGTAAACTTACTACCTACGTACTAAGTCCCTCGACCCTCCAAGTAGGTTTTGAGGTTAAGGGTTTTGGTCGTGTATAGGTGCTGGGAGCCCGAGAGCAGGTACAAGAATGAGCTCCTAGTATCGGTGTAGCTCAGGGTTTTGGGATTTGGGGGTTTGGGGGTTTAGTTAGGGGTTTAGGAACTTACAGTTTGGAGCGGTTTGGGTTCAGGGTTTATTTGGGGTTTAGGGGTTTAGGGCTTATAAGTCTAGACCACTGAAGGCAGCAGTGCAGATGAGTATTGATCCTAAGCTGCGCCCAGGCCCATCCCAAAAAGACTGGATCCTAAACCCAGAGTTCTCTTCGAAGAGTCGCTTCAACCGGAAAAAGTTAAAACACGATCAATTCAGGTGAGCTGCAGGAGACCCTGAACACATTGCTTGGCAAGGCTGTCAGCAAGGATAGGTAGTAGGGGTCCTACCTATATTCCATCTAACAGTTATAGTACAGTTTACCCCATCACCCTAATGGCTTAAATGCCTACAGCAGGTTTCAGGGGGAGTTGGGTTTTGAGTTTCGGGTTTGAGTTTCGAGTTCAGGGTTTCAGACTCAGCATGCATGGAAGCCGACCGGCAGTGGGGCAGTTCACAGCTTTGTTTCGAGCTTGTGCCATGAACGACGCCCCTGTTCATAGCGAAGTTTCTGATGTGGGCTGTAGGATTTACGGTTCGAGGGGTTTCGCGGCCTTTGCACATTAATTGTTTGATGCACCGCAACTTGCTCGTGAAGAAGCTGCAGTTATCGCACCATGAGCACTTGGAAACTCGGCTTAGTTCAGGTCCTGCCTCAGCTTCGAAAGCCACCAAATAGTCTAGACCCTACACTCCTCGACCCGCGCACCCTGAGCCCTAACGCCCACTAATTAACCACGCAAACCCTAACCCTAACCTCTAAGCCCTGATTACTCTTTTCGCAGTTTGAGAATTTCTGAACGCAGGTGATCGATGCCTTCAGCCCTGGTCGCCTTACGCTCACGCTTCTGCTGGATGTAGGCTTCGCCACTGCAAATTGGGGTGCTCATGCACTGTCCACTGGGCCCGCAAAAGGAAGCTCCTGTCGCGTAAGTATACGCCATGTCACAAGCATATGTAGTGCCCTGGACCTGGGCTTTTAGGGCATGTTGTTTTAAGGCTTGCGTTTACGGTTCGGGGGCCCCGAACTTTAAGCTTCTGAGGCTTAGAAGCATAATGGTGATGTTGATGATGGTGGTGACGAAAGCTCGTTCCACAATGCTTATCGCGGTCAGGGTCAACATAGTTGATGGCATTGCCTTCATGTGGTGTGTGCGGCTAGTACGATTCCTATTCGCCACACTCTGACAAATATGCTTGTTCCAGTATCATCGGTTGCCGCGATACAAGGAGCCCGAAGTGCTAAACCTACACCCTGAAACCTACGCCTTAAACCCTAACCACTCAACCCCTAAACCCTTAGGACTTTGAGGTTTGCACATAGAAAAGTTATATAAAGAAGCCCTCACGGAATAGTAGAAGCCATAAATCCGATACCACGAAGATCCCAAAACCCTGGGAGGTGCCACTCCTTTTCTCGGCTCCGCCCCGTTTGCCGCCGCGGACGCGCGGTACCGGCGGAGTCACTTGGCGGAGAGGCGGTTGTATTTGGGTGGTTCTCAAAATTAGGGTCCCTTTTTGGGTACCCTAAATATTAAGTGCCGTATTATCGTAGGGGCGCAAAAAGGGACCCTAACTTTTACAACCACCCATTTAGACCTTTCGAAACCCTGTGGGTATCTGACTCTTGGGCCGCCCCACCTTGCCCTTAACCTTACCTAGAGTCTCCATTGTAGTTCCTTTTTTTGGTGAACCAGTTTTATGGTTAGGATCCTATAATAGAGGTTTTGGTTAACCAAAAAAGGAACTACAATGGAGACTATAGGTAGTAGCTAAGTGGATACACTTTACACTTTCCCAGACCCCCAAAAGAATCTAGAAAGTAGATCCCCGAATTTGGGGCCCTACACTACTAAGGGTACCTTATAGGAACCCCCATTGAGGGATCTACTTTTTGGATCCTCCCGGGGTCTGGGTTCTGGGATAAAATTACCCACTATAAAACTGAAAGTGGGCACTTTTGGGGGCTTATGAACTCAGCAACTCGGTTAACTCATAGACTTCCAGCTCAATTGAAACTCTGAAAGTCCCCCAAAGCTCAAGCACAAAGGGTCCAAGCACGATTATTGTTAGGTACTTAAGAGCTACTTGGGCCCCCAAAAGTGTATACTATGCTATTCCTTCAACCCTAAACCCCAAACCCTAAGCCTAGCCTAGAACCCTAACCCCTGAACCCTAAACCGTAAACCCCTAACTAAACTCTGAAGCCTAAACTCTAAAACCCTAACCCCTCAACTACATAACCCTAAACCCAAAGCCTCAAAGGGAGCTACACCTCCACGAAACTGGGCCAGTCTGGCGATGCGGACTCGGGCGCTACGGACCCGTCCCTTGAAAGAGTGCTCGGTGTTAGGGTTTACCGGTTTAGGGCCAAAGGGTCCTAAGTACTTTAAACAGTAGACTGCAAGGTCTATGCTGTTAGGGTTAAGGGTTTAGGGCCAAAGGGTCCTAAGTCCCTGAATATTAGAATGTGGGGTTCCTTTATGAGGAGTTACTCGTATGATAAGAGTACTTGGGACCCTCTGGGAGATTCGAGTTTGCAGAGGTGAAGTTCGGTCTAAATCAGGGTTGAGGGGTTAAGGCGTCTAGGGTTTAGGGACTGAACATCATCGACGAGAGATCTGTCCTACTGTAGGCGAACAGGCACCTTGTCAACACTTTGTGGCTTCCGGCACCTTCCATTGAAATTTGGACTTGTGGGTTTAGGAGGAGGAGGACTTCTAATGCAGATAGTAAGGAACCCAATTGAATAATGTTGGTAATAATTTAGGTTTAGGCTTCTACATTACAGCAGCAGGCAGAAGGCTTTTGGGTTCTGGCTGTTTCTTCCATGGCCGGGCCCAAAAATCTGCCGTCTTTGCCTCTTCATCGCAGGACTATGTGGCAACCATCGCAAATTTCGACAAGAAGTGACCTCATGTGCAGATGAGCTCTAGTTCTGAAGCTGCGTCGGAAAATTGCGAGGCAGTACGGTGTTGCCCGGAGCATGCAAGTCCGAAGTTGGTGTGAGCGTGCGTGCGTGCGTGCGTGCGTGCGTGTGTGCGTGCGTGCGTGCGTGGGTGGGTGGGTGGGTGGGTGCGTGGGTGCGTGGGTGCGTGGGTGCGTGGGTGGGTGGGTGTGTGGGTGTGTGGGTGTGTGGGTGTGTGGGTGTGTGGGTGTGTGTGTGTGTGTGTGGGTGTGTGGGTGTGTGTGTGTGTGTGCGTGTCTTGTTTTTTGTTTGAGCTATGCAAGACAGCTCTTTCCAGTCTGGTATTGACTAGACTTGTGCCCGGCAGTTGCTGCCACTTCCCAACATACGGTTGATGATATAAATGCTGCATTACCCATAATAGGGAGTTTACCGTGATTCCCATAGTTTAGGGTCTTTAGGGTAATGCAGGATTTATATCGTCAACAGTAGACCTTGACCCAACAGTGCCATCCAGCTTGTTTTGCTTAGGCTTCCCTGTGCCATGGTAGGTGTCACATCAAAATCCACAAAGCCCCTTCTTCACTATGGAACCGAAGCTTGTAAAGTGGAGTCTGCATTTTGAGTTGGTTCCCTTGCCGTTTCTGCCTAGATTCTTGTACTCGAAACCCTAACCCACATTGTTGCTTTGCTTTTGTTTCTTCCGTTTTCTGCCGAAGCTCAGGAAGCATAGTTTTCAGCTACTAGGTTCGGGCGTTGGAACAAGAAATACTGGCGTAAGAAACCCAATCGTCGACACCTGCAAGAGTGGCGAGCAAAAGCAAACTTGGCCCCGCTAGCAAACGGTAGAATAGCTTGCGTGAAGAAGAAGAAGAAAGGTACAGAAAACAGCAAGTTGACGTATTTCGTGCATGTACATACATATACCTATACACACACATATATATATATATATATATACATACATATATATATATATATACACACACCCGCACTTGCCTGTGCATATTCATACATGCATATATGTATGCGCATCTCTTTATCTGTCTGTCTATCTATCTAGCCATCTATCTCTTCATCTAACCTATCTAACATATCTGTTTATCTAATTGTCTACCTATCTATCGTATCTCTCCCCTTTTTTCTTTCTCCTTCTCTCCATCTCTCTCTCTCTCTCTCTCTCTCTCTCTCTCTCTCTCTCTCTCTCTTTTTCTCTTACCTCGAAAGCCCTCAGACTTCCGAGGCCCCCTGTCCATGGCTGGATGGAAAGCATGTGGTCTTCGGGCACGCAGCCTGGCCGGCGCAAGGATTCACTGGGATCTCCTGCTACACATGTTATTCTACAGGTTTTGGGGCTTAGGGTCTAGGGTTGAAAGGGTTTAGGGTTTAGGGCTTTGTTAGGGCTATGACGGTTATGAGTGGTTTGTTTGTGCACTTGGCCAATAATCCAGAATCTCGACTTCCCTGCTTGCGCTCACGAGCTGCCGGCATAGGTCCAGGGTTCTGCCTTCTCCTGCAATGCAGCCGGCACCCACGAGAGTGGGTTTTGGGTTTAGGGGTCTGGGTTCCAGTTGTTTAAGGTTTGTGGTTTAGGGGTGCAGGGTTTTAGGGTTTATAGGGTTTAGGGTCCTACTTTCTCCTCCAATGCAGTGAGCATCTTCATTGTCCCGGTCGTAGTACCCTGTTGCCCTTTTTTCGTTTGGTGCCTCCTTATTTTTAAACTGAATAGGTGGAGAAGGGGTACCCTTATTTTAAAGAGGCGACCCAGGGACCTAGTCTCGAGAGCCGTACCACAATCACCATCGTCATCACAACCATCATTATAAAAGCGGTGTGGACGGTTTAGAGCATGTAAAACATTAAATCCTAAGCCGTAGCCTGCATGTTCCTCAGGTCATCGAGGGGATTGAAGTCTTGGACGAGATCGAGGCCGGGAGAGATTTCAACTTCCAGCAGCAGTAGTAGCACCGGTAGTGGTAGTAGCGACGAAAGCGGCGGGCGTCGTCGTCTTCGTCGTAAGACGTAGCAGCCGCAGTACTACTGGTACAACTGTAGTAGTCGTCGTCGTGGTGGCGGCGGTGGTGGTAGCGGTAGTGGTAGGGGTAGCGGCAGTGACTGGGAGTGGTGGTAGTACCACCCTTGATGAGAGCTTGGCGTCGTCATCGGCATCTCGCCGACCTCTTAATGACCGTCACCAGCATCCTTGTCGTTGCAAGCCTAAACTATAACCGCCTAAAACCACCAAACCAGGCCTGTGGCACCGAGGGTGGGCGGCCGTGTCTCCGGCCTGTCTACACATGACACCTGCTTTTGGTGTCTAAAATCGGTTGAGGGTGTTGAAATGCTGTACGTCATAACTGGTTTCTGGTTGTGCACGGTTTGCGATAAGGAGTCGAATCGATGTTATGAGGATTTATGGGCTTTAGGAATTGATGAAGGTATGTTGTTATGTGTTTTGGGGATAGATCAAAACCGAAGGTTAAGCTTTGATGGGTTTAGGGTTTTCTGTGATATGGTTAATACAGGGGCCTAAATAATTACCAACACTTTTTGGGGTGTCCTTATTCTACAGTATAATGGGCCCCAAAACCCTATTCTAATTATTGAGGCCCCTGTATTAAGGGTTTCAGGGTTTAGGATTTACCTTGCCGAAACCGGACCTTCGTGTCGGATTTGCGAATGCAGCGTTTGAGGCCTCGAACTCAGGATGGGAGTTTTGGGTTGAAGACGCCTCTGCCAAATGCGGCTCCTACAGGGACAGCACAGCCATGAAGGCGAAAGCCTTGCTCCGAATAGTACTTGTGCGGCTCATAAAAAACCCAAAGCCCTGAACCCCTGAAGCAGTGTTTGCTTCAGGGCTCCGAGATATGTGCTTCTGCTCTTCCTCGCTTTTCGACCCAGACGTAGTCATAGTGCGGCTGCTGTGCAGATACTACAAGCAGTTAATATTGGGGCCTTAATAAATAGAACAGGGTTTGGGTTTAGGGTTATATTGTACTCTATTTATGATAAGGACCCCCAAAAAACCCTATTCAGGCCCTATTCTGGGGAAATACTGTGCTCAAAAAAATGAGGAGCCCCCCAAACCCTATTCTAAATATTGAGGCCCCTACATGACTCATGCTCGGCTCGACAACTTACAGCCTGGGGCTGCTTCACACAAGCATTCCTGTCAAGGTATCTGCTTTATACGCAGACAGCTTCCTTCACCCCATGGTTCAGGGGCAGTACTCCTTATCCTCGACCATTTCATGAAGGAAATTCACCTTGAAAGCTATACATACATATATATATATATATATATATACATATTACATACATATATATATATAAATAAATAAATATCACGGAAGAAGCCAGGAAGACCCGCGTTTGGGTTCCGCCCTCAGTGCCGCAGAAAACCTAGACTTGCTTGTCGATTTCTTGGGGTTCCCTCTCGAGCTTGATTCTGGGGTTTAGATTTGTGGGGTTTGAGGGTTTCAGGTTTAGGTGTTGTTTTAGCTTCTAGGGCTGTAGGGTTTTAGGGTTTAAGCTTAAGAGCTTCCGAAAGGCCACAGTGGTGGAACTCCTTCTCGTCGCCGTATGGAGGGAGCCCTAAACCCTAAGCCCTGAAGGTTGCATCACCGGAACCTGCCCAAGCCTAGCATTTTGCAGGGTCCCTCTAGATTCTCTGTTGGGGTCCATAAGAAGAACCTACGAAGACAGTATATGGCCATAATCCCTACATCCTCGTTATTGAGCGGCTACTGGGCAAACTAGACCCCCAAACCCAAACCCAAACTCCCAAACCCTCAGCCCTAAACACCGGCTTAAAGCCTCGGCCGTCCTACTCGGAGGTTCGACTCCAACATGTCCAATCAAGGAGCAGCTACTCCCCAACATTGCGTCAGCATTCCCAGGCGATGCCGTATCGCACGAGGTGGCAGAAGCACTACGACGAGGCCACGCAGCACCTGAGTTCACAAGGCGTCTCACGTCGGGTCGCACGCAAGCGCGCATAGCAGAGGAGCAATCGCCCATTCCGAAGCTGCCAGCGCCGCCAGTGCCGAAGCAGAAGGCTCAGCCGACACAGAAAGCCCCTTCGGTACCGAGGCCTTCGAACAAACAAAAAGGTGGAGATCGATCGGCTACTCCACGCAGGGTTTCCGGCAACTGGACGGGCTCTCCAACTCGTGCATTGCAGAGGGCGCGCTCAGATGCCCATATCATTGGCTACCGTAGAAGCGACGCTCTTGTTTCATCCTTTGTTGTCATCCCAAGCGGTGACAACTAAACCCTAAACCCTAGTTCCTAAACGTGAACCCCAAACCCTAAACCCCAAACCCTAAACCCCGAACCCTAAACCCCAAACCCTAAACCCTAAACTCCGAACCCTAAACCCCAAACCCTTATAAACCCTAAGCCCCGAACCCTAAACCCCAAACGCTAAACCCAAACCCGAAACCCCGAACCCTAAACCCCGAACCCTATAAACCCCAAATTCCCACCCAGGCCTGCTTAGGCCGTACCCACCCTTTTTCTTAGGGTGCCTGGACGCAGAGGACATCCGGCGGTGATTGACACCGGGATGGACAACGGGTGGAGCCATTGGAGAGTGGTCAAATTCCGCCCTTAGGGCTGAGCCATGCCATTGGGCCACCTAGGTGGCGCCCATATTTCCACGGAGAGTTTTTTCGAGTCTCTAGAGAACAGTACACCGGCCACAAAGCCCTACGACCCCCCCCCCGGAGGCCGGGCAGCCGGAATGGTGAACACATCACCTGTGAACTGTGAAAGTGCCGTGAGGCCCTCTGCCGCGACTTCTGGGGCTGCTGCCGCTGATGGCCTTCGGCTTTCATGCTGTGGGCGCTTTGCAGTCGATGGATTTACCAGACTACGCCGTGGGGTATTTGGATTTCAAACCCACAAAGAAAGCCTTGAACCCTGAAACAGACACTTTCTCTACCCGAACCTGCGATTGTGAAACGACCTCCAACTTCCCCAAACCCCGCGACGTCACCCAAACCGTGTCCCCAAAACCTACAGCCTCAGGCCCAAACCCCCAAAAGATTCTGGGGCCTTTGGGGGTTTGAGCGCAGAGCTGACACTTGTGCTTTGTAGCCGTGTTTGTATTTGTGGTTGCAGCTTCTGCTTTTTCTTTCGTTTGCGCTAGTGGCCACTATGTGAGAGTGTGAGAGAGAGAGAGGGTACACAACAGGGGGACGCTGGGAACTGTTCTCGCCTAGGGTAGCAGCACAAGAGTCGAAAGTTCGCCGACCTGAAGTGTTTATTTTGCAAACATGGCCTTTTTACGTTCTGTAGAGGGGGAACTTCGACCAAGACATGCTACCAATGCACTTGCATGTGTCGGCAGAAACCAGTTACGAACCCGGCTTTTCTATAGTCCACTATACGTCTTCTATGTACACCGGGAGACTAACTGGGTTTCCTCACGCCTTCCCACAAGCCCCATAACACATGGGAGGCCCATGAGGCCGGAGGGCTTAAACAGCCCTCTAAGCCCAGCGGAAGAAGAGAGAGAGAGGGAGAGAGAGACATATATATATATATATATAATATACACATACATATACATATACATATACATATACATATATATATATATATATATATATATCGAAAAGAGGGCACCAAAAATACCCAAATACGTGGTGCCGGATGGAAAACTGGCCAGGGACTGCCAAAGTCACGGAACGAGAAATCCAGTGATACATCGGCCCCTTCAAAGTCAAGCACGCGACCCGGTGCTGCATTGCCAGCACCCACCATGCGCTGCCAGGTCCTGGACTGGAGTGAGACGGGGCGGCTCCAGCACACCATCGTCTTGTTGTTGTGGTCAAAGAGTTTTGCCGGATGCGGTCTGCCAATTCAGGGCAAACGATTGCCGCGGGCAGTGAAAATGGCTGCTGCTGTTCTTCTTCCGACCAAGGGCGGCTTCGCTAAGTCAACGGTGACGAACCTCCGGCGAATCGCAGTCAAGAGATACGCTTTGAGAAGTGACACTCTGACACAGTTCAGCAGCAGACAGGGTGAAAGGGTGCGGCTCTTGACCTTGGCGTGGACAATCAGTGTAGTAGTTTGGACAATGGTTCATACGAACGGTACCCCTGGCACCGCAGCCGGCTAAATCCTCCAGCACAATGGCTGCGGCGCCGAAGTCAGAGATCGAGGGCCTTGTGTCCAAGATTGACGACAAGGCCGCTCCATGTTGCGGCGCCTGTTGCGATGGTGCTGCAGCGATCCGAAACTCCAACAGACCCGCATGAAAACACGTAGTATGCCCATCAACAAGCTAAGTAAAAGCATATGCTTTCCTATACATGCGGATTTGGGCATCTCACCCATCACAAAGTCCTACAGTTGGCGCCAGGCGGCACGACAGTCCGCCCTGGCAGGTCTGGCGAGGTGGGAATTGAGGGCGTAAGCCCTAAGCCCTAAAAGGTAATGTTTTGGGTGGTAGCCTGTGTAAGCGGGCGGGAAAGAGACAGAAACCAATTTGTAATTGTTTGGTGGTGGAATCGCACTCCAATGCCAGAGGTAGACAGGCCGCCCCCCCACACCCCTGGGAGTGTTGGGGCGCCATCCTACATAGAAAATACTGCCGCTGCGCAGCGAGACGCTTTAAACCCCAAGCCTTAAACCCCGACCCCCAAACCCCAAACCCTAAACCCTAAACCCCGAACCCTAAACTTAAACCCTAATCCCCGAACCCTAAACCCCAAACCCTAAACCCCGAACCCTAAACCCCGAACCGTAAACCCCAAACCCTAAACCCTACAATCCTTGCGTTTCATGATGGAAGCATGTCGGGCTTTACACTCGCGGTGCTTTGCTTAAAGCGAAGGCACCCAGGTAATAGATCTATGTGTATATATACAAATATATATGTGTATATACATAAGGTATATAGTATATAGTATATCGTACATGGTATATGGTATATGGTATATAGTATATCTTCAACACTTGGGTTGCAGGATCTCTACAGGTTTAAGGGTTTAGGGCTTATAGGGTTTCCCCAAACCTTGCAAAGGTGCATGGCTGTGGGGAGGAGACAACGAAGCTTCTCAGAAAGGAGGACCGATACCCTGGGTTTGGAGTACCATACTTGAATACTTGTTTGGGTACCTGTTCCTTAGAGGAACCATTATGAAATAACAGTCTATGTTTTTTCTTCCTGGTTCCTTCAAAGTCCAAACACATAAGGGGATCCAGGGCTCTTTTTGTTTGGCTCTAGGGCCGCTGCAGGGCAAAGGGCTCAGGATAAATCTTAGGGTTTAGGGTTTACGGTTTAGGGTTTGAGCTTGTTGTAACAGGGATATATGCAGACTGCCAGAGTTTGGTGGGAATTGTCCTTTCGATTCAGGCTTGTAGGTCCTAGTCTTATGAGGTATCGGGCTGCACATCGGGGTATCGGATTCTGTGGCGTAGTGGCAGGTGGGGGGCAGCAGCAGCAGCAGCAACACGGCAACGCCTTGAATTATGGCCAGTATAGCTGTAACAAAGCTCCACCCTGCATTATGCAGGCTTACTGTACCCCAACCTTAGATTAGACCCTAACCCAGCCTGCCACCTACAGGCTAACGCCATGAACCCCGTCGGTCCCGAAGTCTTCCCAGAACCTAAATTTGCAAACTTGGTGCTACCGATGAGAACCGCTGTGACAAAGCCTCGCACAACCTTGAACCCAGACCGCTCGAGACGGACCGCTAATGACGAAGCCATCTCAAGCCCTAAGCCCCTAAACCTAAAGTCCAAAGAGCATCCTGAGCACCTCGTGCCAGGCACTCGATTCAATGTCGACCGAGGCGCGGTGCTTGGAGGTTCATGGGTAGTTATAAGCAGGGTTATAAGTACAGTATCTATACTTATGACCCATATTAGGGGACTTATAACTCCACACTTATAACTACCCATGAACCTCCAAGTGATCCTCAACCTTGAACCCCCACCTCTGAACCATTGGGTTTTAGAAGGCCCTGGGGGGTGGGTTTGCATTGGGTTTAATTAGGGCTTCGGGGCAAGCGTTTCGGGATAAATTGGGGTTTAGGGTTTAGGGTAGCAGTGGGGTCCTGCATTGTGATCTTGCTGATGCTGACGACGACGATGAGAATGACGTTGATACTGCTGGTGATGATGATGAGGATGAGGCGGAGGAGGAGGAGGAGGAGGAGGAGGCCGAGGACGAGGAGGAGGAGGAGGAGGAGGAGGAGGAGGAGCAGGAGGAGGGGGGAGGAGGAGGGGGAAGGAGGATGGTGGCGTGGAAGAGGACCACGATGACGATGATAATGATGATGATGATGATAACGATGATGATGATGATGAGCATGAGGGAGAGGATGAGGATTGTGATGACGATGACGATGACGACGAAGACTATATTGATGTGGGAGTTTTGATAGTGGTTATGCACCTAAAGACTCCTTCACAGAAGTCTCAGAAGAAGGGGCACCCCGTGTTGGTCGCCAACAGCGTCGTAGGATCCTTGAGAGGGTGTGGCTCAAGGAGAGAGAGGGTGCTCGGGATGCTTGGTCAACCCTGCAGAACCTCCGAGGAGTGCAGAGAATGGGTGTTAACTCCGAACCTTACCCTCAGGCTCACGAAAAGGAGGATTTCACGTCCTTAAAGCTGTGAGGGGTTATATTGAGACGTTACTAGTAATATAGAACCATGAAGCCCTGTAAAAATCTGCGTGAAACCCTGATTTTAAAAACTTCAAACATTATGAGAATGCAGCGAAAGCTTCAACAAGCCCTGGTAGCACCCTATCAAGTCACAACAAACGTTGCGAACAAAAACACCCTAAGCCCTAAACCCTAAAACCCCAATACCCTCAACCCGAAAACCCTAAAACTCTAAACCCTTGTAGTGCGTAGAGCCCTTTCGAGGAATCCTTATCATCCCCTTTAAAGGAACCCTAAGCCGCTTTTTCGCGACGAGGATCCGGCAGAGCAGGCGAGAGCAGCTCTTGAGGCGCAGGCCGAGGCAATGAAAAAGGCGCCCAGACTTTGGGATTTAGGGTTAGTTATGAGGGTCCCTTTAAAGGGATCTCTAGGGATTCTATACGGGTTTTAGGGTTTATAGGGTTTTGTTTTTTTAGGGTTTTGGGATTAGGGTTTTTCGGCTTGGGTTTTAGGTGTTGGGATTTAGGGCTTACATAGGTCGCTGGGTTTTTAGGGTTTTGGGGTGTGGCGGTTTTGGGTTTTCGAGTTTGGGTTTTAGGGTTTTGAGGTTCGTTCTGCAGGGGCTTGGGGTTCTAGGATTTATAGACGTCAGACTTACGCATTTGGGGGTTTTACGATGTTTCTCGGCTTAGAGGTTGCGGCTTTGGACGTTCGAGCTTCGAGTTTAGGGCTTGTGCGTATTGCCAGCATTTCGACCCGTTTTTTTCCGCGGGGAAGAGGCCGATCTCAAAGTCTGAGGCCTCATACACCCCAAACCCTGTAAGCCCTACTTGGAGGATCATGGGACTTAGTAGGGGTAGATGGTAGATTCTGGTACATACCATAATAAAGCTCGAATATGGGCCAAGGAGTATTAGTGCTGGATTTCCGTTTACTCTAGATTCAGGGTATGAGGATAATGATGTTCCAACTTTCTGGATTCTGGTATAGGGCCTCGACCTGTCCTTTAGCCCCAAACCCCGCAAAATGGTAGATTTTGCCTCCCTTGTGTTCGGGTCTACGCCCCCTTCCCCCCAAAAAATGACAGCAGGAATTAACCCGAAGCTATCCTAAACTCAACGACTGCATCCCACGGTCTTCGAGTCCATCATCAGCCTGAAGCCCTAAGGCACACCCACCCGAACCCTCAAACCTGAGCGCTCTGGACCCTTAAAGGGAACTCCAGAAAGTTGGAATATGGATTAATGGTAGGATCCCCTATAATTTACCTTAAAGGGGTTATGATATTCCAACTTTCTGGCTTCTACTGTAATGGCGGGGTTTAGGGCTTAGGGTTCAGGGGTTACTACAGTGTTTAGGGCTTACAACCTGAACCTCTAAACCCTAAAACTTCCTGGTTGCCCTTATGGCAGCCTTATAGAACCCTTGCAATATGCCCTCTAGAGCCCCTACCGTATCCATGATGCTGGCCTTACGGAGCCATTCTAGAACTCCCCATACTTGGAGGTTCGTGGGTAGCTATAAGTGGGGCTATAAGTAGTGTTAGGGGATTTATTTCCCCACCTATAACTACCCATGAACCTCCAAGTAAACCCTCGACTCTCCGCAGCCAACCTGCGTCAGCGAGGTGGAGAGACCCGAGGTGCTGGAGCACATCAGCGAGGTGTCGCCCGTACCGGACGAGGCCGCCAAGAGAACACTCCGGGGTAGCACCCAAAACCCTGACGTGGTTTGTTGTTGGGGGAGCTATAGGCCATAGGCGTAGTTGTCTACATTACGGTCCCTTTTCGAGTCCTTGTTATAAGGGAGCCGCATTTTTTGGGGTTCCTCCAACGGGACCATACATTTAGAGAACTACCCATAATGGAATTTGCAAGGTTTTTGCTGATAGAGGACGGCTGGCAGGACCTTGCGTTGAGGCTTAAAAACCCTAAACACTAAACCCTGAACCCTATACCCTAAACCCTACACTTCAGGGTTCAGAGGTGAGGCTTCCAGCGTGTGTCTTGCTGGAGGTAGGGAGGTTACCTGAACCTAACTTAGCCTACTTGATTGCAGGTCCTCATTATGAGCCTTAACATAGAGCTTATAGGAGCCCAGCAAAACAAGCTAGGTTTGGGTGAGTTGAGGTAAGGTTTAGAGCTCAGGATTTGGGATATACTTGGAGGGTCGGGGGACTTAGTAACTGGTTTTTAAGGACTTATAAGTACCATAACCCAATTAGGAGTCCCTTTTAGGATACTTAAGTCTACTTACTACGTACTTGCTAAGTCCCCCGACCCTCCAATTAGGGTTCAGGTTTTGGGGGTCGGTTCAGTGAGTTAGGATCCCGAACCCTGAACACACCTCAAGTCCTTCTCTGCATGTTCTGCGAAGGCCTAAACCTCCTAAACTACCCCTCAAACCTACACCGGAATTCCTAAGCTCCTCCCTAAACCCTAAAACCTAAACCCCCGAACCCGTAAACCCCTAAACCCCGAACCCCAAGCACTCAAACGCCCAAACCCTAAACCCCTAAACCCCCAAACCCCCTAAACCCCCAAAACCGGAAACCCCGCCCAAGCGCTGCCCAAGGTCTGGAAGAAGGCACGAGCTTACAGTGACAACATGCTTTGAAGGGCCCTGGAGGCTCGGTCCCTAAGCGCTTCTTCTGATTAGGGGGTTAGGGGTTGAGGGTTTTACGGTTTTGAGGTTCATGGTTTAGGGGGCTTCTTGGTTACCATAATAGGGATCTGTAGTAAATAATATGGCTTCCTTATTATGGCAACTGTAAATTGAGTCACGAGTTCCTTCTGAGGGCTTTGAGGACGTTAGGGGGCTTTAGGGTGTTTAGGTGTTTGAAGGGCTTTTAGGGACGTTATTGGGCTTTGGGGCTTTGGGTGTTTGAAGGGCTTTGGTTGTTTTTAGTGCTACTATAAGGGTGACGATAAGAGTTAGTACAAGGAGTATAAGGACATCTGTATGAGTTACTGGATGTTCCTACTTCATGGATTCTACGGTGTGTTCAGTTGGGGTTTCTGGTTTCGGTTGTAGGCTTAGGCGTCTTCGTTATGGTGCAGACGCCGAGTCGATGAAGCAAGGAGCCTTCTAAACCAAACCCAGGAAATCGCGCTCACGGCACAGGCATCATACCCAATCGTTTGAAACGTGGGTAGAACTAACGGTCTCTTTTTAGGTCCCTAATACAGTATGAAAAGCACCCTGAACGAGACCCTAACAGATACTGAACCCTGCAACCGATATTATGCTAGACTAAGCTTAGCCCGGAAGTCGAAACCTTAACTTGCAACTCGCACAGGGTTCCGACATCTGGGCTACTTGGAGGTTCATGGGTATTTATAAGTGGGATATTGAGTAGGGTAGTGAAAAAATGATGACTCATATTTAGGGGGCTTATAACCCGCTTACAACTACCCATCCTAAACCCCAAACCCCTAAACCCTAAACCCAGAACCCCTAAACCCTAACTACTAACTACACAAGAACCAGCAAGTAGGACAGAAAGCCGGAGGCCTCAAGTCCCAGGGTGGCGATTCCCGATGTGCCTGTTGATTACAGGGTTGAGGTAGGATGTCCTAACTCCTCCGAACCCCATGTGTAAAGCCTAAGCGCTAAACCCCAAGACACAAACCCCAGACCCCTGGACCCCAAACCCCCCAAGCCTTAAAGCCGCAGCTCAAATCCTGGCAGCTCACCAAGAGCTTCCAAAACTCATATTAGAGATCCGATTATGATTTGAAAAACATTCCTGAATTAAGGTGGTTTGGAGTCTCTGGGTGGAGTGTTGGGGATGAGGTGAACCCCGGACCATAAAAACCTGAGAAGCTTACAGGTTAGTAGCTTAGGATTACGTACCATGACGCCTGAAGCCAAACTGACGTCTGTCGAGGCGTTGGTAGAGTCGCTGGGCTTGCTCCGATCCCTTGAGAGCGCGACGACTGTGCAAGCCGAGAGAGCCCAATACCTCTCAATCGAAGAATGTTCCGAAAATTATGGGGGGATCTTAATATTGAGATTTAAGGTATACCCTTTCATCAACTGAGGGATATTTATGGGCTCTGTGAACAAGGCTAGGCTACACCCTAGTGGCAGTCGTGGGTTTGGTGATGTGGCTTGGCGACTCTAGGCGTTAAACTGTTGTCACTATGCTCCCGGTGCATCCGGGAGCTAGAGCAATCTTAGTAAAGTTATCTTATATGACGAAAACATAGTAAAAGCAACTTACAGGATTACAAACACCTGGAAGCCCTGAACTTCAACTCCAAGCCCTAAATCCTGCAATGCTAAACTCGAAACCCATGAGCCGTAAAGACTTAAATCACAAACCCTAAACCCTTAAACCCTTAAACCTGTAAACCCTATGCCCTTAAACCCTTAGCCATTCAATTCTAAACCCTAAACCTTTAGTTATAGTCCCTATTATACACCCTAAGCCCTAAACCCTTCTTGCCCGAGAGAAGACCGGAAGGTTGAGGCCTGGGGGTTGTGAAAGTGCGGACCCCGATTTCACCGGATGGGTGGTTGTCGGAAGTCTGATGAGACTGCCCTACAGCAGAAGCCCAAAGTTGGAAACCTTAAGAGTAATGTGTAGGGATTTCCAGCACTATTTGGCCTTAATCCGGTTTCCAACTTTATGGGGTTCACTGTAGAAGGACCCAGCGTATTGCCAAAGGGTGTATAGTTTAGGGTTTCGGTGTTTTTCCGTTTCAAGGGTTTAGGGTTTTGTGTGAGAGGGGGCGTAGGGATTGAAGGAATAGGAAACGGGATACTATGAAGGGCCCCTATGGCTAAGCCTGATTGACAGCTGTGTCGACGACCAACTTGCTTCTTGCAACCACCCAGAATCCTTTTCGATGCCGGCTGGATGGGAAAAAGTCTGAAGCGGACGATGCAACTCTTCGCAGCAACTCCGGACCCTCGTCCGGAGCTTGACAAATCCTAACCCCTGAGCCTAAACCCTGCACACTGAAGCTAGCCCAAAAAGTAGTCATTGTTTCAACGAACTGTGAACATGGTGGCGTGAAGACAAGCAACAAATCGCAACTCGTAAACGGACCTAGAGGTACACATGAAGCCCCGGTACCACGTAAAAACGTATTTCGAAGCTTGGACAAATGTGCTCAATAAAGACCCACAGCACTCATTCGCCTCCCCGCCCGAATACTCCGCTCAAAAGCGACATTTCGGCGCTAGATTAGAATATTGAGGTCGGAGTGGGTTTGGAAGTCTACTCCCCCTGTAGTTCCTATATAGTTCGACTCTGTCATACATTAAGACTGCCTTCCACTTGTTGAGGTCCCCATGCTTCCTTGCTTGCAGTTCCCTGCGAACCTCCTAAGGGTTCTTGTACAGGCTTGGATTAGGGGTTCCTTGTCTTGTTTTCTATAAAGTACCACTTTAGTTTCGTTCTACTTCCTCTAGCCTCCCTGGGGTTATCGGTTCCCCCCTTGCACGAAAGCTCAGGGGAGTGTTGCGCAGGAGGCGAAAAAATAATCGAAAAAAGAGGTAAGGGCTTTGGGTTTCAGAGTTCAGCGTTTTCGGGCTGAGGTCTCTGAAGCTGCATCCCAATCATCACTGCTCTTCTTCGCAAAACTCGTCAACACAAGCCCGAAATCCGAATTTCAAGCCGAAGAACCTACAGTGAACCCCCAAAAGTTGGAAATCGGATTGAGCCCAAATAGTGCTGGGGCCCCTTATACAATACTTTTCAGGGTTGAGGCTATTGGGTTTCCAACTTTTGGGCTTCTACTGTAAATAAGCAGACCTAGACCTTCCACCCTGAACTGTAGGTGACCCTTCCCATTGCACGGGCAAAACACATCAGGCGCCCTAAACCCTATAAGATCCTAACCCTCAACCGTAAGGTATGAAGGCCTCCTTGCGAGTTACCGAATGCCAAGCATGCTTACGGAACATTGCAGCGTGGTGGTTCGAGGCAGGGAAAGCCGGAGCCACTCCTTGTAGTATGTAGGAACGCAGGTGGATGAGCAGCTCCCTTTGCACGGGGTCATCTGCTGGTTCGGTGAATGGAATCACCACGTGGCGATGAGCCTCGTTCAAAAGTTCGATTCGGGCAAGCATCTATGTATCGTTTTGTCTAGAAAAGGAACAGCCGTCATCGTCGTCGTCGTGATTTCCGCTGTTCTGCTGGTGGCTGTTCTTAGTGGTGGGAGCAACAATCGATCATGACAGGTTGTCTGAAGGTTAGAAGAGACACGACAGCTGTTTTGCATCTGTTACCTCTAAAACCCCAGCCCTCAAGCCTGAACCCGGCTACGTATACCAGGGGTCGAACTGTCATGTTGTCGGGATCGCAATCGCAGCCTAAGCCCGAAGTCCTGGAAACTGAAAACACAGGCAAAAACTTAAGCCTGAACTCTAAATTTTAAATCCTAAGAAATGGGTCGGAATACATCGGAGTCGTGTCCCCGGTGTAGTACACACGACAACCCTATTCTATTTCTGCCGGCCGGTACAGTACCACTGAGCAGTTTGGAGTTCAAAACCACTGAGGATTCCAGGGCCATTGCAGCCGCTTTGCTCTCACAAAAGGTGTTCAAAGGCGCGTAAGGGAGAGGGCAAAGGAAGGGGTGAATTGGGCTTTAGGAACTAGCTCAACGCCAAGAAAACTCTTGTAGGGCTGTTTATCATGATCTCTCTCTCTCTCTCTCTCTCTCTCTCTCTCTCTCTCTCTCTCATTCATATATATATATACATACATATCTATGTGTAAGATATCTTTTTCCATATCTCTATATCTATATATATATATATATATATATATATCTGTCAAGAGGCACGAATTGGGTTATGGTAGGGTGTACGGATTAGGGTTTAGGAACGGCGGCTTAGGAGGAAGAGTTTCGAAATTTGTTTGTTCACGAGCCCGACTTGGGTTGACTCAAGAGCCCGGCTTTATGGTCGGGGGTTGGGGAAGGATTAGTAAAGGCTCATTGGTCGAGTAAGCCGCAATGTGCGGTCGCGTTGCAGGGGTGTGGTGGAGGTTGGGGTTGATGGGTATAAGGTTAAGGGCCCAACGATCGGGGCTTTTAGGGTTTACCAGGACCCTCTAAGTGCTAAAAATACAGCGCTGATGGTGCTTAATAGTGAGATATTTATGGTATATTAGGGTAGTTGGGGGGTCTGGGCAGGGACAAGATAATGCTTTTGAGACCTTGAGGCTGCTTTGAGGGGTTTGCGGGTTTCGGGGTTTGGGGTCAGGGCTCGCGCGACTGTTTGAATTAGGGTTTTGGGGTTTAGGGGTTTAGGGTTTGGTTTCGTGAAGTTCCGATGATCTCCGATAGGCATGTTAGAGGCAAGCTCTCTAGTCTTCTAGTAGTTTATCCGAATAGGGTTCCTTTTTAAAAGGGGTCTACAAGGGATACTATATTATACTAAGGGATCTAGTTTACATTCTAGCCACGGGCCAAGATTCTTCAAGGGGAAGCCCTGAAAGCACCAGAAACACAAGCCACAAGAACCCCACAGCAACCCCGAGCAATGCGGCCCTGCAGTCTACTTGGAGGTTCATGGGTAGCTATAAGTGGGGTCATAAGCAAGGTAACTATGATTATAACCCATATTAGGTGGCTTATAACCCTACTTATAAGTAGCCATGAACCTCGAAGTACCAGTACAGAATCCGTTGAGGAACCCGAAAATACCTCAAACCGGCCGCAAGGATGCGATGCGGAGCTCGTCCAGCAGATCGCCGATGAGGCCTCTAGTTTCAGATTTCAGCTTCTGGCTTTTGTAATTTCAGTTTCGATTAGAGGGCTCAGGGTTCAAGGGGCTTCACCGTGATGGGGTTTAGGGCACAGTTTAATTGAAGGGTTTCAATTTTCGCAGGATGACATGATGTTGCAGGGACATGGCACTGCGGTTCAGATTTAAGGGGCTTTTGGGATTGGGGACCGGGGTATCGAAGCCTCGACAGCACACAATCCACCAAACCCCCCAGACCCTAGACCCTCCCTGACCCACCCCCAAACAAGGCAATAACAAAGACTGATGCTGCATAGCTGAAAGTCCTCTGCCCCTTCCACGAACACGAGCAAAAAAACAACACGTTTCCTAGACCAGTGAGCCGGAAACCCGGCCCGATGAGCCGGAGTAGATAGCAATAACAAGACTAGTAACACCAGTTGTATGAGCAACAGAAACAGTGAGGCTGGTAGGACCGTAAGACTTGTGAACATGATTAGAGTATTAATCGTGATAGTGACGTCATTGACCATCAACTGTGATTAGCTACCATCGTCATCACCACCATCACCACCATCTTCATCGTCATCATCATTATGATCATCTGTATCTTCATGTTAATATTCATACTCATTTTGATATCCATCTTCATACAGAAGCAGCAGCATCCTCATCCCAAGGTCCTGGATTCCAGGAGAGGGCTATACCCAGAGACTCCAATACCCCTTAATTAGGGAATATACCTTAAACTATAATAAGAACCCTAATAGGATTTAAGGTATATTCCTTAATTAAGGGGTATTGGAGTCTCTGGGTATGCCATGGCGGCTATGCCACGCTCAAGTCAGCTGATAGTGCCGAAACACTTCTACTCCACAGATTTTAGGCCCGCAAGATTCAGAGTCTAGGCACACATGCGGGAACGATGTTCCCTCATAGTCCTTGTATAGTGGGAGTGTCATGTACGCCAAACGCTACTACAATAACTCAGGCCCTCTGTGTTGCACCCTAGAAATACCTAGAAAGCCCACAAAAGTGTGTATATATGTGTGTATGTATGTATGTATATATATATATATACACATACACATACACATATAACATAAATATATACATATATATATATATATATATACACACATGTGTATATATATATATATACATACTGATGAGTCACACGCACACACACACACACATTTAGGTGCATGTGTGCATGTATGTATAGAGGTATATTTATATAGATCTTGATATGAAGCTATATATGTGTGTGTATATATATATATATATAGACAGAGAGAAAGAGAGAAAGAGAGAAAGAGAGGGAGAGAGGGAGAGAGGGAGAGAGGGAGAGAGGGAGAGAGGGAGAGAGGCAGAGTGGGAGAGTGGGAGAGAGGGAGAGAGGGAGAGGGGGAGAGGGAGAGAGGGAGAGAGGGAGAGAGGGAGGGAGGGAGGGAGGGAGAGAGCGAGTGTGTGCGTGTGGACCGGAGGGAGAGTGCTAGTCTACTTATGACGGCCTGTATAAGCAAAACGACACCCTTTTCGATGAGAAGCCCTAAGCCCAGTTTGCATGCAGGCCGTGCGGTGGACCCCCGGCAAAGGCCACGAGCTGCTTGGCTAGGGTTTGGGGCGGTTTTGGGTTTACGATGCGAGGGTTACCTGGACCCCACAAGTGTGTAGACCAGTGGCCTTACAGATGTGGGGCCAGTATTGCACCTTGTTTTCGTGGTTTTCGCTAGGTTTTATAAGATTCGGTTTCAGGGTGTATGGTTTAAGGTTCGGGGCTTGCGGTACAAGTGTGCCGAATAAGAAGATCATTGGGATTGACACTTTGTTTTATCTGGGGGAGGATGTGATTGACAGGTACTTCGAGCTGCCTTCTGATATGCTCCCCAGCACTCACGAATCACATAGAGCCGAAGCTGTAGGAGTTTTACTCCACGGATCCAACAAGCCAATACTGGTTTCGGCTTCAGGCTGTCGGATTAACAGGGGTAGTTGAAGACCAAGCAGCCCTTTTTGGGGGGTTCGTTGTCAGGGTTTCGCTCGATCCTTTCTGAAATGGTAGGGATTTAGGTGTTCACGTTGGGTTCAAGGGAGTTTGATCTTGTGTTGTTTGTTGTCTGTAGGTTTGGGACAGTGAAGGAGCTTCAGGGAATAACCCTAAACCCCTAAACAATTAAACCCTAAATCCTAGGCGACCTTATTGTAGACCTTTAACATCCTTTAACTGCAAGAGCCTTACCATATTGACAAGCAAAGAAGGCACCCCGCTACGCTTCTACATGCACACCCAGCTAAGTCTATACAACCCCTACATAACACTTTACAATCCTATGAATGAACCTCTACCGTACCCATAAAGCCTGCATAAAAGCCTGAGAAAGCCTTGATGGTGCCCTGTAGTTCACCAAGGATCCCCGTCACGGATGGAATGCCGTTGCTCATCGTGGCGTCGCCTGGCAGCAACCCTAAACCCTACACCCCGAACCCAAAACCATACACCCTAAACACTTCCAAAGTCGCCAGGGACCTCAAAAGCCCTTCATAATCTACACAATATGTGTTTCAAAATATCGGGACCGAAGTATCAAGATGTAAGGTGCATTCCTTGAAGGGGTATTGGACTCGATTGTAGATGAAAGGAGCGGGACATCAAGATTTAGAGCCTTACTCGTCTCTAGAATCCCACTAGTCTGCACCCTACAACCCTTTATGCTTAAGCCTACAACCCCAAATGAAAAAAACTATAACCCTAAACAGCTAAGTTTGGGTTTATAGGGTTTAGGAACAGAATCACCTCACGTTTGGTTGAAGGTCTGGGTCCTTGCAGATCTGTGTGGGTGGCGGACCTGCTGCACAAGCTGGCCGAGGTGGGCCAGTGTAGAGTTCGCCAGACGTGTTAGCGTGTTCTTCAGGGTTTCTGGCCTGCAGGTTCCCTACCCTAAACCTTACACCCTAACCTCCGGAATTTAGAGATGAGGTTTAAGGCTCGCTTCAGGCCACCCGAATGCATAAGCATTCTGTGGATGAGCTCGTCGTCCCTGAACGACTCAGGATTTGCAGGGGCCAATCCCAACCAGAACAGACTATCCAGTCTGGGTCAAACTTTCAGAGATTGCACTACTGAAGGGTCGCGGGACTTGGTAATTAAATAGGGCTATACAAAAAGGTAACTACAGTTATGAATAGGTATAACACCAATTAAGGTACATATTGAATTTCCTTGCTAAGTCCCATGTTCCCCTAAGCAAGGTTTGGGCTTAGGCGGAATTCGTTACAGATCGCAGGCTTTGCGGATGTTTGGGGGTTGCGGAAGAAAAATTACCATCACGACATCAGCTGCTACCACCACAACCACAAGGTGGCGGCACTGCTGCTACTACTGCTGCTGCTACTACCACTGCTACTACCACCACTGCTACTACTACGACTACTTCGACGCCGACTACTACGACTACCACCCCCACCACCACCACCACCACCACAACCACCACCACCACCACCACCACCACCACCACCACCACCACTACTACCACCCCCACCCCCACCCCCACCCCCACCCCCACCGCCACCGCCACCGCCACCGCCACCGCCACTACCACTGCTTGGAGGTTCATGGGTAGGTGTAAGTAGGGTTATAAGCCCTCTAATATGAGTTATAAGTATAGCTACCTTAGTTATAACCCTACTTATGACTACCCATGAACCTCCAAGTACCACTGCTACTGCTAGGAGTAATGATAACGATGATCATCAAAACTATTGTTATTGTGGAAAGTAGGGTAGGTATTGTAGCTATGGTAATTATTGTAACATTTGTAAGTATTGGTATTATTGTAAGGGCGAGCGACACGCTTGTGAGGTACCGTGGTCGGCTTCGCAGGCTTGTTCGGGCTTCTGGGTGCCGCAGCTTCCGCGAGGACCGGGAGAATAGGCAATCTAGGGTTTAGGGTGCGGTTTAGGGTTTAGGCTTCCTTTGTGGGCTCCTAAAAGAAGGGTACTATAGGGGTTGTACGTTCCTGAGTAGGTGCCCTTTTGCCGTTTTGAGTGGGGCTTCCTTATTACAACCGAGTAGTAGGAAAAACTTACCCTTATAAAGGGGCTACTCAGGAACGTAGCAGGAAATCTAGGGTTTATGGCTATGGATATTCAGGGTGAAGGTATACCCTACGACCCTGATCCTGAGAATTTCAAACACAAAGCCTGAGGCTCTTTCTGGCCTCGTGACAGGCAGCCAGTCAAACAGGGTTCTGAGCCCATGGCCACTAAGAACTGCGTCTTTCGCCCTCCAAGTTCCTAGAAGAAATACGAAACTGCTCATCTGTAAACCCTACCTATGGTCTACATTGCAGTTCCTTTTTGGGGTTACCTTATAGGATGCTTATTATACAATTGGTTAAACCAAAAAAAGGAACTACAATGGAGACTGTAGGTATAAACCGTGATTCTTTCAAGAACGAATGAAACGACCTTACAGGAACCAACCTCGGCCTGTGAGCATCGTTTCGGCCGTGGATGGCGAGGATGTGGACGATGCCCGGCGCCCAGCAACTTAAGTTCAGGGTTGGGTTTTAGAGTTCCACTGAACCCTATAAACATACTGATTAAGAACCTTTAGTAAGTCATAACAAGGAGACCTGAACAAGGTAGGGCTTAGGTTCAGAGTTTACCGCGTAGACCTTAATTGCGGAAGGGCTGCGGCTTCAAGCCGAGGATAGATGTACTCGTTTCCGAAGTGTTTATCTTCAAACTATAGAAAAGGTCCGGATAACGAGATAGGCCCTTGTTTAGGAGCCGTACTGAGGAATGTGCCTTCAGAGTTCTTCTTGAAATAGACTGAATCCCGTAATCGTCGCCGCAGAACGGGGACTCCACTGTGTTGAGGGTCGAGGCCGTGAGCCCTCAACCTGTGTTGGCGCTTGTTTGTGTTTAGGGTTCATAAGTTTTAGTGTGTCTAGGGTTACAGGGATCTAGGCCCTCAGCCCTAAACCCTGAACCGTGAGGGTATTTAGTGTGGAGTGCTTACGGCGTCTCAATACAATAAGGATCATGAGTATGAATGCTATGAAATTATATTTCGAAGTTATTTCTTATTTTCTGAACTTACAAATGCTGCTTCATTGCTTCAGATTCCAGAGACTCGAGGATGCCCATGGGCTGAGAACTCAGGTCACCATCACTTGGAGGGTCGGGGGACTTAGTAACTTAGTAAGTAGGTAGTAAGTAGACTAAGAAGTACCCTAAAAGGGACCTTAAATGGGGTTATGGTACTTATAAGTCCTTAAAATAACAGTTATATACTAAGTCCCTTGACCCACCAAGCAACAGCCACCGCATCGAAAGGCGGTTCTATCAAGCAATCGTTGAGCAAGGGGCAACCACAACACCGCCAGAGTCGGACTCAGGCTCTCAGGCCATTCGGACCACGTGCCGAGTTCGGTGCGCGACAGTTCCTGTAGAGGGTTCATCACTGCAACAGCAGTGGTCAGACAGCTCCATAATGGCAATGCGCTGGTGAGGGCGATTAGCAAGTCCTTGTTTGGGATGACAGCGACGGTGAGATGCCTTGAAACCCTGAAGCAAAAAACCCTAAGCCTTTGTGAACGCGCACGGGGGTAGCTTGCGGGACCAAGGCTGTAATTAATGTGTGCGTCTTAGCACTTAAGAGAAATAACATCCCCTCATCGTCCCGATATGTTTTTTGTCGCATGACGTACCTCAAGACCCTACCCTGTATGCTTGTGCGCTGCCCGCTTTGTAACGGTTGATAATTATCCAATATTTAGTATGACTATATATAGTCCTTAGTACGACCTGACCCGACCTATCCCAATCTTTAGGGCCCCATGTTGGAGACCATCCTTGCAGCTGGGCTCCTGGGTTGGAGAGCCCCCTATCCTTACATGGGCAGTTCTTCAAATTATGGTCCCTTCTAGGGCCAGTTGTTGAGGGTCCGTTTGGTAAGGGTGCCGTACTGTTTGGGGGACCTAAAAAGGGACCCCAAATTTAGAGAACTAGCCACACAAGTCCTACGTAAGCCAAAAGCCGGACTTCACCGGAGTTTCCACACCTTCAACCCTAAAACCCTCGTCAAGTCTGAAGGGTACGAAAGCCTCAACCCGAAGCCCTATACCCTAAACCCAAAACGTCTGATCCTGCACCCGAACCCTTACCCCAACCCAAAGCCATAACCAACTCTAATTCCTATACCCGAACCCCTATAACCCTCAGCCCTTAGCCCAACCGTTAAATATTAAATCACAAAACTGGAACCCTCAGCCCAAGCCCTAAGCCTAACCCAAAACCTTAACTCCCAAAACCGGAGCTTTAAACTCTAAAGCCGCAAACAACCCTAAACATCACTTGCCAAACCCGGAACCCTGACCCTAAAGCCCCAAACAGGACACAGTGAAGGCTGAAGAGGATGAGGAGGACGAAGGCCAGGCATGTAATTGGAGGGTCGGGGGACTTAGTAAGTAGGTAGTAGTAGACTTATAAGTACCCTAGAAGGGACCCTAATTGGGGTTATGTTACTTATAAGTGCTTAAAATAACCAGTTACTAAGTCCAAGTAAGGCTTGGCTTTACGGGTCTAGGGCTTTTTAAGGCAGGGCTTTAGGGTTTTATGCAGTTTCAGGGTTAAGGGTTACGGGTTCAAGATGTTCAGGTGTTTGGGCGCATTTCGAAGGATTGTTTGGTTAACAATTTTGGGGTTTTGGGCTTCAGTGATTCAGGGCGTGAGGCAGCTCAGTCGCTCATGCATACAGGAGTTTCGAAGTAGTAGCTTTCCTCATCCATAATCGGACATCACCAGTCGTCGGCATAATCGTAGCCTACATCGACCAATACACATTCCAAAGCCAAAACCGCCAAAAGGGCTTAACTTGTCGCCAGACACCCTGAAAGCCAATCTCAAAAGCCGAAGCCTTGAACGCTGAAGCCCCAAACCCCCCAACCCCAAAAAGACTGAAACCCTAAATCCTGAAGTCTTCGAGACAGGGAGGAAAAGAGCCCTCAAAAAAAACAACAAAGAAGTCTTCGAGACCGCGCCTAAACGGCGGGAAGCACCCGCAGGTCGGCAGGAGCTCCGTCGTCAGTTCGATCTTCCCGACTGGAGCTCCTTGGGCTCAGGCTTCCATAGGCTTGGATACATAATGGGAACCTGATTGAGAAACCCTGGTCCTATAACACCAAAATAGTAGGAGTCATATAAGGGACCCTAATAAAGGTCCAAAGTGTCTTAATCAGGTTCCTACATTAGGACTTGCGGTTTGGAATGGTTTGGGGTTTAGGGGGTTGGGGTTTATATAGCTGTTTAAGATTTGGGGGGTTATGGGTTTAGGGGTTGCCCAGGCTTTGATGAGGGTCTCGCCGTGGGGTTCTTTCTAGGGGTTTCAGGCAGGGTTTCTATAATGGCCCTGTGATACATAGGCCGCGGAGCTTAGGTTTGTAACGGGTTCTGAAGGTTTCTAAGGGTTTCAGGCCATGGGGTCCCATAAGGGTTTAGGGTTTAGGGAATACTGGTCAGATGACCCACAGGTCTTTGGGCTTAGTTCTACATGCTTGTTACAAGGATCTTAAATGGTGTGAAAGAAGCTGAGTAGGGGTCTTATATCAAGGGTTTCATTCAGAAGGATTCTGTACGCGTTGGGCGTGGATGATGAGTAGCCGCAGCCAGTGGGAATTTGAAGATGGTAACTACGGTTTAGATTGTCGGTGTCGGCTTGAGTGTTGAGTGTTTCGGTTGCCCACGCTAAACTAAACCCTACACCCTAAACCCTAATCCGGCTCTCTGGATTAGGGGATTGGGTTTGGGAAGTTCTTGTGTTTTTAAGATGCTTGGGCTCTCATGCATACCCGAGCCTTCAGGGTTTATGGTTCAGAGTTTAGGGTATAGGTTTCGGGTTTAGGGTAGGGTCTAGACCCCAAACCGTGGACCCTAAACCGTCTCCATTAAGACTCCACGTGGCGACCCTAATTTAGAGAACCACCCACCTTTACTAGTGAACCCGAGCTTCGCCAGTCAACCGAGCACCCGGCAGCCGTTAAACTGAAGGGCATTAGGGTAATATGGGGGCCTCAATTGCCTCAATAATTGTCAATACTTTTACCTCACTAGAACTATAGTAGAATATACCACACCACCCTATGCAAAAGTTGCAGGCCCCCCTATACTTTCGGTTTTGGGGCCTTATGCATCAGGATTTCGGGCTCTGAATTTTCTCGGCCTGAGGGTCTAAGGTCCCGGGGCTCACGGGGTGTGGCTACCACCAGCTCTGATAAGTCATGAAGGCAGAATGGGCTGTCTTCTTAACAGGTGAGTGTTACAGGTCTGTATTGCAGTTTGCATCCTGTTTGATATTCTTTCCCAGGTTCGTATTGCTGTTTTGATAGCATACTGCTGGTCTAGGTTAGCGCTTCCTTCACGGTGACTGTGTGGGTTCCGTAGATTGCATCAAGACCTGGTTTGATTTCAGGACAGGAATAAAGTATCCATGTTAGCACCCTACAATATACCCTCAATCATTGTTCCAAATACTCTTTAAAACCCAATGGAACCTTGCCACAAACGCGTATATTGGACGGGAACCTCCAGACACCTGTGCACTACGGGGCTCGTGTAGAGAAATGGGGCTTACAGGAACATGGGTTCCCTGATGGGAACCCGTGTTTTTTTTTTTGCTGTAGTGGCCTTTATGTTTTTTTGTTCTCGTGGCGCGGACCCCGGAAGCCAGTGAGTGAGTGAACCCCGGTGCCCGCAACGACAGCAAAAAAAAAAAAACGCGCCCCCGCCACGACAGCAAAAAAAAAAACGCGCCCGCGCAACGACAGCAACAAAAAAAACGCGCCCGCGCAACGACAGCAAAAAAAAAACGCGCCCCCGCACCAACAGCAAAAAAGAAAAACGCGCCCGCGCAACGACAGCAAAAAAAAAAACGCACCCCCGCAACGACAGCAAAAAAAAAAACGCGCCCCCGCAACGGCAGCCGAACAAAAAGCGCGCCCCCGGGGACGACCGCCCTCGCAAACAACAGTATCGGGAACGACACAATATCTGGGCGTTTAGGTTGCTCATTTAAGGTTTCTATCAGTAGTAGTAGTAGTAGTAGTAGTAGTAGTAGTAGTAGTAGTAGTAGTAGTAGTAGTAGTAGTAGTAGTAGTAGTATAGTAGTATAGTAGTATAGTAGTATAGTAGTAGTAGTAGTAGTAGTAGTAGTAGTAGTAGTAGTAGTAGTAGTAGTAGTAGTAGTAGTAGTAGTAGTAGTAGTACTAGTAGTACTAGTAGTACTAGTAGTACTGTAGTACTTGTAGTACTAGTAGTACTAGTAGTACTAGTAGTACTAGTAGTACTAGTAGTACTAGTAGTAGGGAGGGCGTACCCCCAACCCCCCCGCTGTTTTAAGCCGTCTGCAAGCTTGCGTGATCTTGCGTGACAGCATATAGAGGTCGTTTCGGGGAACCCGCCCTGCATAATATGATATGTGCGTTTTGGAAACAACGCCATTCACCCTGCGAAAAAATTGTTTGCAAATGGGAAGCCTGTCCCGCACGTGCGAGAGTGCCAAGCTTGCTTGACAGCATATATATGCGTTTTATTTAAAACCAAGCATGCGAGCATCCTGACTGGCTGCCCCCTTAAACCCCGCCCCCCCCCCCGCCCCGCCGCCCATATGATTTTGTTGTAAACACCAGCCATGCGAGCATCGTGATTGCGAATGGGGGGGGCTGCGCCCCCCCCAACCCCCCCGCTGTTTTCAGCCGTGTGCAAGGTTACATGACGGCGTAGAAGTCGTTCTTGAAACCCGCGATCCCTGAGATGTGCCTTTTAATCCAATACCATTTTTTACCTTGTGACAAGGGTGTTTGCAATCGGGGAGCCTGCGCCGGGCATGCGAGAGTGGCACTTGGTTGACAGCACATATGCGTTGTTGGTTTCAGCCGACCACGCGACCATCATAGAATCGCAAATGTGGGGGGCTGCGCCCCCCTCCGTTTAAACCAGCCATCGTGATTGAAAATGGGGGGGGCTGCCCCCCCCAACCCCCCGCTGTTTTAAGCCTTGCGCAAGGTTGCATGACAGCCTGGGAGTCGTTCTTGAAACCCGCGATGCCTGAGATGAGTCGTTTAGAGACAAAACACCATTCACCTTGTGACAAGGGTGCTTGCAATTGGGCACCTGCGCCGGACATGCGAGAGTGCGCACTTGCTTGACAGCACTGTTTTTTTTTTGCTTTAACCGACCACGCGACCATCATAATTGCAAATGTGGGCGGGGGGGGCGGCTGCCTCCCCCAACCCCACCGCGGTTTCAAGCCGTCTGCAAGCTTGCGTGACAGCATAGGGGTCGTTGCTGAAACACACCCTGCATAATATGTGCGTTTTTGAAACAACGCCATTCACCTTGCGAAACATGTGTTTGCAAATGGGAAGCCTGTCCCGCATGTGCGAGAGTGCCAAGCTTGCATGACAGCATATATCCGTTTTGTTTAAAACCAAGCATGCGAGCATCCTGACTGGCTGCCCCCCTTTAACCCCGGCTCCCCCCCGCCCCGCCGCCCATATGATTTTGTTGTAAACCAGCCATGCGAGCATCGTGATTGCGAATGGGGCCCGCTGTTTTAAGCCGCGCGCAAGGTTGCATGACAGCCTATATAGGAGTCGTTCTTGAAACCCGCGATGCCTGAGATGAGTCTTTTTGAAACAAAGCACCATTCAGACATCGAAATCAAATCAGCCAAAATTGTGCACGGCACCACATGGGGCGACACATTCAGCCGGCATCCTGTGTAAATAATAGGACGTGGGGGCCCAAATAAGAACAAAAAGAACCAAAAACAACAAAAACGGACCGAAATAAAACTCCACCCGTACATAGTAGTAGTAGTAGTAGTAGTAGTAGCAGCAGCAGTAGTAGTGTAGTATAGGTAGGGCGATGTGGAGGTGAGCTGAGAAGACGTATCTTTCCTAGAAGGAATATATGGGTGGAACATGCCTTGATTCTGTCATACAGACATGTTTCCGACCGAATGCTTGTCTGTAGTATTCCGTCATCACTATTACGGAAGACATGCGTTTGAGGGGTGTGTAGTACGTGCGAAGCAAGAAACCCCGGCACGCGCAACAACACAACGGCGAAACAAAAGCAGTAGTTTTGCTTCGCATCGCTGTAAGGTCCAACCTTTCGATACTCAACTGTCACCTGCTATGCAGTCAGTCGACGCGCCATGCAGGAGCCAAGCAAGTAGTAGTAGTAGTAGTAGTAGTAGTAGTAGTAGTAGTAGTAGTAGTAGTAGTTGTCGCAGCAGTAGTAGCAGCAGTAGTAGTAGTAGTAGTCGTAGTAGTAGTAGTCGTAGTAGTAGTAGTAGTAGTAGTAGTAGTAGTAGTAGTAGTGCTAGTAGTAGTAGTAGTAGTCGTCGTCGTCGTAGTAGTAGTAGTTGTTGTTGTAGTGGTAGTAGTAGTATAGTAATAGTATAGTAGTAGTAATAACAATGATGATAATAAACAAGCGCCCGGGGAGCGCAACGACAGCGAAAAAAACCGCGCCCCGCAGGCACGACAGCCAAAAAAAAAACGCGCCCCGCAGGGACGACAGCCAAAAAGACAACGCGCCCCGCAGGGACGACAGCCAAAAAAAAACGCGCCCCGCAGGGACGACAGCAAAAAAAAACGCGCCCCGCAGGAACGACAGTAAAAAAAAACCCGCAGGAACAACAGCAAAAAAAAACGCGCCCGCAGGCACGACAGCAAAAAAAATACGCGCCCCGCAGGCACGACAGCAAAAAAAAAAACGCGCCCCGCCACGACAGCAAAAAAAAAAACGCGCCCCCGCCACGACAGCAAAAGAAAAAACGCGCCCCGCCACGACATCAAAAAAGCCACGACAGCAAAAAAAAAAACACTCTTACCGTTCCCTGATGTCTCATTGCTTAACGTCTAACAAGAAGCAGCGGTGCTTGTTAAAACTCTAAGAAACCAGAACACACCTAAGGCGTGTACTGCAAGCGGGCAGTGCGTGATGGGATTCAGACGCTTGTTTGCAACTTGTAGTTTGTGTCTTTGCATTGGGGCCCCTGAAGCCAAAAGCCACCATGCATCGGTAGCAGCCGCAGCATGCTGCTTTCAAACAGCAGCAACCCCAAGAAGCTGAAACCAAAGGCCCAGAACATGGCTAAAGCCAGATATGTGTGGTTCGGCAGGGCTTAGGGTTTAGGGATCGAGTTTGGGTGACCGTGAACATACCTTGATGAGAAAATCTCTTTGAAAGGGTTACTCAAGGTCGCCGTTTGTTAATCAGGGGGATATACCAACTCGACTGACTAAATTTGGATGAGGCATCAGGTAGGTAGGGCATTAAGATGTGTTAGGTAACTTCGCTATACACAATATGTTTGCCTAGCAGTTTTAACACAACACAACAGAACAGTCTGTGTTTTAAATGTAGTACATTATAGCCGGATACTTCGTGATACGGTTGATATGACGTGACATGGTTTTGTACGATATGGTATGACATGTTATGTGATTATACAACTTAATAGTTTGACTCAAATCATTCGTGTGTGTATATATATATGTATGTATGTATCGCCTAGAACCCTGACATTTTGTGTTTTAGAATCTGGCGCTTTGCGGTTTAAGCATGAAGACGCCTGGTTCCAAGGGTTCAAGTGCTTTACACTCACAGCCTCCTACTGATGCCGACCGGCAAAGCTAAAGTCCCTACTTTGAGGTTCATGGGTAGCTATAAGTAGGATTATAAGTCCCCGAATATGGGTTATAACTGTTATTACCCTACTCCTAACTCCACTTATGACCACCCATGAACCTCCAAGTATGGACCCTGAAGCAAGTTCAACTCCCGTGCGGAACCCTAGTACATGAAGCTTTACCACCACCTAAACCCTGATCTTTTTTGCGACTAAACATCGAGCCTTAGACCCTAAACCCTCAACCCTAAGTTTGAGCCCGAAGGAACCTTGCTCCGCACACTTTGGACTTCGAAAAGCTGCATGGCTCCGACAAGCACACCGCCGGGCTGCGGATGGCTCTGGCCCCAGTCGGGCTTAGACTTGAGGGCGCCTGGGGGGTACCTTATTATAGGGCCCTTATAATAAGGATCCGACTATTTAGGGTAATTACTATAGTAGGGTCCCCTATTTTCGGAAACTCCCAACTGTTTGGGGTTTAGGTTTTGAGTTTCAGGTTGGAGTTTAGGGCTCTGTGAATTTAACCGGGTTCAGGATTTAGGGCTTGTAGGACTTGAGGGGTTTATGAATGGTTTGGGAGAAAGTGGAAAAGATTGGGGATTGAGGATCAGCTAGAGGTTTGGGGGTTTTGGGTGCGGGACGGTGATTTTGAAGCTTTTAGGCTTCGGCCTTACAGTTTGGCTTTTCGGATTGGAAGTTGCGGTTCGAAAGTCAAGGGTTGAGGCTTGCAGGTCCTTGTGTTCCTAGCATCCTCGCAGGGGGCTCACTGAGAAGTGGGCAGCTTGGCTTAGCAAGCCGTGCCGGTTCCGAAAGAGGGAAAGGCAGAGACCTGCAGAAGGGATGTTCCTTCCAACACCGTGATTGATGGTTTAGGGGTTATGGGGTATGACAACATTTGATGTTCAAGCATCCAATCTCAAGCAGCACTGCCTTGCTGCGCTAGCCAGGCAGGTGCCTCGATGCTGATGCGGACAAAGTCCGACATTTTAGATGCAAGTGGGGTATACAGTACAAGCCAGAAAGTTGGAACATCATTGCCCTCATGCCGCTAAGATAAAGCAGAGGGAATCCCAGCACTATTCATCCTAAACCTATGTTCCAACTTTCTGGAGTTCACTGTAAACTTAGTAATCCCCAATTCTCCCTAGCACTCTCTGAGGCTCTAAGGTCCCCTGAGATTTCCTAAGGATCCCTGGCACCCTCCGCCCCTGCAAAGTCCTAGGCTCCCACCACAACGCGAACTCCCTCCGGCAGCACAGAAAAAACGCATAACATCGAGACCTAGTAAAGCTGATAACTGTGCTTACGGTTTAGGGTTTGGGGATCCGGGCCCTAAACGGCAAGCCTTAGTCAGCCCTCGAGGTTCAGGATTTGACAGGGTTTAGGGTAAAGTTTACGGTTTAGGCTTAAGGGTGTATTATAGGAACCTGATTAAGAAACCCTGGGCCTCTAACCCCAAAATAGCAAATAGGATTCATATCAGGAATCCTAATAAAGGGGCAAGGTTTCTTAATCAGACAGGTTCCTACCATAGGATTTGTTGCCTTGACTTCGTGAGGGTCGGGGGACTTAGTAAGTAGGTAGTAGGTAGACTTATATGTACCCTAAAAGGGACCCTAGTTGGGGTTATGGCACTTATAAGTCCCTGCAATAACCAGTTACTAAGTCCCCCGACCCTCCAAGCAGGGTATTATATAAGGGTTTTGGCGAATTATAGACAGGGTCTCTTGCAACGAGATAGTATGCATCCCTTCGTCTTATTCGAATCTAACCGTTGATATTGGAGGAGCTCAGGAGCCAGGATGATGATAATCCCTATTAAATGAGGAGCTAAAGAGCCAAGGGAACCCCAAAACACTGGTTAGGAATGTCCAAAGCCCAAAGCCAGGAGATTTTGGACGCCATCTCCTTCCAAAGAGCCCTGACTGCGGGCCAAGAGAAGAGACTCGGCTGGCATCGGCGCTGTGCAGCAACTGCGGCAGCAGCTTTGGGTTCCTTTACGGGTCCCTTTAAAGGGATCTTTTGGGGGATCCTTTAAAGGGATCTATAGGGTTTCGGGGTTTTAGGGCTTTCGGGTTTAGGTGTTTAGGGTCTAATTCGGGTTTCGGGGTTTAGGGTTTAAGGTTTCGGGAACCTAAGAAGTATTTTAGGATGTAGCTGTATATCTAGTCTAGGAAGGAGCTCGTGCGCTGACGGAGTTGACAGTCCGAGGCCGTATCAGGGTTGAGGGTTTATAGGGCTTTTAGGGTTTATGGGGTTTGGGGCTTCTAGGGTTTATAAGGTTTAGGGTTTAGGGTTTAGCTTAGTTGTTGGGCATGGAGTTCAGGATCTGAATGTAGGGCTTGTCGGCTTCAGGTTTGGTGAGGTTCAAGGAAGGGATCTGGATATTACGGTTGTGGAACTGTCTCTTGTCTTTACAGTCACTCAACGAAAACTTCCTAAACCAGTGCTGTTGCTCGCGCTGAGGAAGAACGGCTGCGTCCTCGCTTGCGTTTCTTTGGAGGTGATCCAGGACTGTGTTTCGACCCGAAAGGCTGGTACTGGGTGCTTCTAGCCCTAAGGGTCCATGTACCCAAATAGTAATAGTGAATACTTTGGCTTTAAAGTACTCTCTGCATAGGTACATTGGGCCCAAAGTATATGCTATTTTGGTACATGGACCCTTAGGGTAAAGGCACGGAGTCTGTGGCATCTTCTAGGGATTTATGAAGGACTTTGTTGGCTGTGCAGGGCTTTTGACGCCCAATGCCGCATGCCTTGGAGGCAGTGAGGAGCGTTCGTTAAGCTAAAGAGAGAGGCAGCATCTCTCCAGAATCTCAGGAAGGTCTTCCACCAAGATCTAGACGCTGCATATTTCACCCGCTTTTCATCGGATTGACAATTGAAGAGGATACTATTTAAGAGTAGGCTTCAGAGACTTTGGCGGACGGACCTAGTCATGTAAGGCAACCCCAAACCCTACACCCTGCAACCGTAAACCCTGAACTGACATACTCATGATGCATTAATAAGGCGAATAAGGAAACCATATTATTCACAACAGATCCAAATCACCAGGAAATCTTCGCCGGGACGGAATCGGCAGAATGCTTCGAAGCTGCGTGCAAAAGCGCATCTTGGCAGGATCCGGCGCTGTTTGGTTTGGGGATCCTAGCAAGCTTTAAACACAATGGATACTGTAGGGTGCTTAGTATAGCGGGCTAGATAATTACTTAATACCATTGTGGGAGCTCCTTATTATGCTTATAGTATAATGTACCCCAAAAAGCCTATTCCAATTATTAAGGCCCTATATCAGGGTTCAGTCTAGAGATTCTTAGAAAGGGCTTTCCTAAGGATTACCCTAAGGCGGGGTGTGAGTTTATCGGATTAACACTTTAGGGTTTAGTGTTATAGGCTTCGGGTTGAAGGTTAGAAGGTACCCGAAACCCTAGACTCTTCTGGTGCCCTTCGAAACGGAGCCTCTAAAGGAACCCTAGGACCCCCCCACGTGAAGTGGAGCTGAGGTCATTGCCAAGTTTAAGGCGCTGACGCGCTTCGCTACCTTTCCCGGGATTCCTCCCGAGGCGAGGGGCTGTGACATCAATACTGGTAGTTGGTGGGTTTTAGGGTTGATGGTCTAGGGTTTTGGGGGTTGTCTGCAAGGGCTTGGTGGGGTTGCTAACCTGCTTTATGAGGTTGTAAAGGGGTTATGTATGGTTTCGGAGGGTCTTTATAGGGTTTAGTATAGAGATTTGAACAGTTAGTAAGTCCGTATCCTAGGGTTCCCTCGCAGACGCAGGGGAAAGAAGCCTTCAAAACCAGCCTGACTGTTCAGGCTCCTACATCAGAGCTTGGGTCTGCATTTCAGGGTTTACCTATAATTAGTCTCCATTGTAGTTCCTTTTTTGGTTTAACCAGTTGTATATTAAGGATCCTATAAGGTAACCCCAAAAAAGGAACTACAATGGAGACTATAATTAAGGGATGGTAGTTCAGGGGCGGAGGGTACCAAGGATCCTTCGGAAATCTTAGGGAACATTAGAGCCTTAGAGAGTGCTATGGAGAATTGGGGATTACTAAGTCTTATACCCCATTTGGAGCCCCCCTTCCGTAAGGATCCAATTACGATCCCTTTGGAGATTGGGTCTGGTGGGTTTACGGTTTCCGTGTGAGCCAGGGGGCGGTTCTGATAGTGATGATAGTTTCGCCGGCATCAGCAGTCTCAGTGCCGTTGGTGGCAGTGGTGCTGCTGCTGATGTCGTCTTGCTACTCTGTGTTTATTAGATGTTGTCGTCGTTGTCGTCCTGCTGCTGCTAGTGCTGCTGTTGCGGCTCCTGCTACTACTCCTACCCTGCTCCTGCTCCTGCTCCTGCTCGTCCTCCTCCTCCCCCGTCTGCTCCTCCTCCTCCTCGTCCTCCTGCATCTCCGCCTCCGCCTCCTCCTCCTCCTCGTCCTACTCCTACCGCTGCTCCTCCTCCTACTGCTAATGCTACAGCTACTTCTACTGATACTGTGAGTGCTACTTCTACTGCTACTGCTACTTCTACTTCTTGCCTGAATCCTGTGAAAGGTCATCTGGATGCTCGCCGAGCACAGCGAAGTTCAGGTGTTCGAAAAAGGCGCCCCGCTGGAGGGAAACTTGTTGAGTAAAAGGGAGGTTCCCACAAATTAATACGCCTTTTAAATAGATATAGGGGCGTTAATATTATGGTCGAAGGTTTATGCCGTATATACTTCAAGAGAACTGGGCTTTCTGGGTCCTGGAGGTTCCAGTATCACTTCATTTTAGTCCAATTCAGTTTGGGGAATCTGGGAGCTTGTAAAAGCCAAAGAAGCCCGCCCCGTACGGCAGCTTCAAGCGGTGGTACAGTGTCAGGTAGTCGTTGAAATTGCGCAGAGCACGAGTCCTACATCACGACCACAGTAGACTCGAACCGAATAAGAATCCCATGACAAGAGGCATGGCCATGCCAAGGATTACATCGCTTCTTATGTTATGCCGATGTCTTATGTACCGGTGTGTTCGTCTTACCAGATAAAGATAGGTATACACATACACACGTACATACATACATACATACATGCATACGTACATACCTATGTACATACCTACGCACATACTTACATACGTAGGTACGTACGTACATATATGGGCACTCATATATGTTTCCATATGCATACAACCCCCAAGCACATACCCTAAACCTTCAAACTTCCAACTCTAACTAACGAGAAGAGGGTCTTACTGAAAGTTCGAGACTGCAGTCGCATCCCTAATTCCTGAACCCTGGCCCTCGGGGAGTGAACCAATCCAAGGTCCACAGTGTTGCGTTTAGGGTTCAGGACCCACCCAGAGACTCCAAAACCCCTTGATTAAGGATTATACCTTGAATTATAATCGGAACCCTAGTATGATTTAAGTATATTCCTTAATTCAGGGGTTGTGGAGGCTCTGGGCAAACCTCAACGCCTTGAGGTCCAAGCACCCAGAAAGTACGCGCTCTGACCCGAAAGTACGAATGCGAAGTACCAACGTAGGAACCGCGATTTTGAACCCCCCATCAAAAATTGGTAGACGGCCCTGTCGAGAAAGTCTTCTCGCAAAAACCCACCAAAGAAAGAACAACAGCACCTACACGCTATAAGCCCTAAACCCTAAGCACTCCCACTCTACACTCAGAAAAGCCCTAAACTCCAAACCCCAAAAGCCTGTGACAGATGATACCATCCTCAGAGAGGGGATCTGTGGTGTGCCAGAGCAGGGGAGCTTGGTTAGGGCACTTGGGCTGTTTGGGCTCGAAGTAGGGGCCTTCAAAACGAGAGTAGGGTTTCGGGGTGTAACATACTGTACAATGGTAGGTATGGGAGAGTATGGTATAGTATAGTTTAGTATTACTATGGCACCTACTCGAATGCCATGAGTAACTAGTCAACCTTCTGCTGTTATTAGGGTGTGGCGTTTGGGCTATCAGACGTTGCAAGGTCTTTGGGGCTCAGGTCTTCCGGGCACTAGGTTTAGGGTTCTGCTGTTTTGATACTGGTAGGGTCTGGGTTGAAAAGTTTCGGGTTATTGGGATATAATTAGGGTTTAGGATGGGTTCTTGAGTACCACACTTCATTATGACGTAAAGCTTCCCCCTTTTTTCTCCCTGGCTACTTCAAAGCCCACTAGGGCTTAACCATTTAAGGGGTCCTGGGGGACCTGCGGAACCCCTAGGTACCAAGTCCCACGATACCGCAAGTATGGATTGGACTTGGGCTTGTTTTGGGCATGTTTAAAGTCTAGGGGGCCATGAGGCATGCCGACAGGCATGCCGAAGTCGAAGCAGGTAGTTGGAAGTAAGGACATACGGATACCGGAACATCGTGTCAGGATATCCAACATAATTACAGGTTTAAGCGTGCTTGGCTGTTGGCACCTCAGTTGAACGAAACTACACGGAAAACTACCCTTCAAGCTCCATAAGCCAGGGCCCCTTCCCCGAACTGCAGTGGGAGTGGAGCCCACTACTTTGTAGTTGAGGAACGTAGGCCAACTCATATGCGGTTTCCTGCTATTGTCCAAGGGCATATGCCTGACTGAAGGCTTATTGGACTCGGGCACCTTTGTAAACCCAGGTTGAACCGAATAATTAATTTACAGCAGACTCCTGCTTTAGCGCTCCTTCTAGGTCCATGATCATTATCGAGAGTGGCACCGCTGATGTGGAGATGGCACTGTCCTGAGAGCTGTGTGAGTGAGACGCTCCGACGTTGCTACAGGTTTTCTATTGGGGTTTTTGTTGGGCTCTAGAGGGGTTTCATAAACCCTAAACCCTAAACCCTAAACCCTAGACTTTGGAGTTTGGGGCTTCGGGTTTAGGGCCTCATTGTTCAGGACGTTTACTGTTGCTTTCGAACAGAGGTGTGACAGCTCCCCTAAACCTTTGGGCCGAGTAGAATTCATACTGTTCCTATAGTATCCATTGTAGTTCCGTTTTGGGGTTACCTTATGTAAGGTAAGCCCATATAATTGGTTAAACAAAAAAGGAACTACAACAGAGATTATAGGTTGGACACTGCAACTCTAAGTTCAGAGTAACCTCCCAAACTCCATTGCAATGGCTCCGTCCCTAAACCCTAAAAGGGGACCCAAAGTCCTTGAAGCTTAAACCCGGGATTTAAACGCTATGACCTAAAACCGTAAGCTCGAAGCCCCAAAACCCCAAGCCCAAAGCCCCAGAACCCTAAATGACTGTTAAGCCTTAAGGATCAATAGTTTTGGTAATTGTCTTTGAAATAACCCTTTGTTCCCAACCCTAAACCCGCAACCTACAATCCCTAAACCCCGGAAACACCAAGCCCCCTTTGTCACAAGCTGGGTAGCTGTCTAAAGTCTAGTCCTTCTGGGGAACCCTATATAATTCTATTCCACTCTTTGGTTTGGGAATCATGTAGGGTTTCTATGTTAGGAATTGCTGTTATGGTTTGGGGAAGCAACCCCCATAACAGTACCACAAGGACCCCTTAAAGGACTCTTGAAGGAACCCTAACAGAACCCTTGAAAGGGAAAGTATCCCCGTAACAGTACCTACTTGGAGGTTCATGGGTAGTTATAAGCGGGGTGACAAGTCCCCTAATATGAGTTATAAGTATACTGACCTTACTTATAGCCGCACTTACAACTACCCAGACCCCCAGGAGGATCCAAAAAGTAAATCCCTTCATGGGGGTTCCTGTAAAGTACCCTTAGTTATATATGGCCCCAAACTCCAAGTAGGACCCTTTGGGCTTATAAACCCTTTTCCCTTATAGAATCCCTGTAGATCCCTTGGAAGGGGCCCTGAAAGGAACCCTTATCACTACCTGTGAACCTCCAAGTAGGACCCTTTGGGCACCCAGGTGTTAGTAAGTATATAGGTAGTAAGTAGACTTATAAGTACCCTAAGGGACCCTAATTGGGGTTATTCTACTTATAAGTCCCCAATATAACCAGTTACTAAGTCCTCCGACCCTCCAAGTGGGCACCCAGGTGATGTTCGACCGCGAGATCCTGGAGGCTCGCGGCTGCCGCATCGCCAAGCTCCTTCCAGGCGGGTTGGGAGGCTTTAAAAACAGGGTATGTGAGTTTAGGGTTTAGGGGTTTAGGGTTTAGGGTTTTCGGGTTGAGTCTGGTTTTGTTTAAGGGTTGGGACACTTGAAAGACAGGGTAGGGGTTTGGGCTTTAGTCTGGTTTAGTTTAAGGGGCGTGGATGATTAGCATAGGGTTTGGTAGACCATACTGTAGATGAGGGCATAAATGCTATCACGTGTGTTTTGGTTGAGGGTGTTTAGGGGTTGATATCTTCGAAGGGTTCAGCAGGGTTTCGTTTGAGGGCCCCTTCTATCATGTTGTTGAGCTTCTGGCCTAACAGTTTGGGATTTTAGGCTCCTTGTGAAGGCCGGGCTGAAGGATGCCCAGCGCACAAAGCTGAGCCTAAAAGACCTACCTTTCTAAGGAACTATATACAAAAAAACCATAGTAAGGACCCCCAAAGAGGTAGGGCTCTTCGGCTACAGGTAGGGTTCGGGGATTCAGGTTCACAGAGGCTGTGACGATTCAGGGTCTTCAGGGTCCCCCGTTTGTGTTTGAGGGCTTCGGTGATTTCGGGAGTTGAGATTGGCGAACTGCCTTTGTGAAGCTCGAGGGTTTCGCCGGGAGGGTGGATTTCTGAACGCAGAAACCAGAAGCTTTAATTTGTCCCATACGCGACAAACCCGAAACCCTTTAATCCCATGCAAAGCCAACAAAAAAACTCAAAAAGCCCAGGTGCCATCCTGGGTGATGCATGCTTCCTGGAGTCGTGGGTGGCGCGTCCCTGCTCAGTGGTGGCCGGGAACCCGGGTCCTTCTGAGGTTTGGAGTTCGGGTTGTTTGTTTCTGCTTTAGGGTTCAGAGGTTAGGACCAGATCGATCCTGGCCAGGTGTATAAACAAGCCACTCTGGCACGAGGCTACTAGAGCCGGGGTCGTTGCCCCCTGGGGTAGGGGGTGCTGATCGTGCCGTGTTCTCACTTCATGGACATGACTGATTACTGGTGGTCGGAGATACGTAATCTCTTTCAGTTTGCTCACTCATCCCCTGTTGGATTGGATGGGCAATACGCCTGCTTTGAGTTGCGATTAGAAGGACCTGCCATTGAGACGGAGGATTCAGTGCTTATCCGTGCCCGCATTCTGCAGCAGTTGGAAGGCGAGGTCTATGGTACTGAGGTTTCTTTTCAGCGATCGGATGCACCAGCCTCAAAGGTTGTACTTCGAATGCCATATGCGATTTGGAATCAAGTGGGCCGGAGGTGTCAAACTGTTCGGGCTTTGTGGTCCCAGGTCCGGGTTCAGAATGACATCGTTATCTTGGATGCCACTGTGGGGAATGCCTTTATCGCTGGGGATATTGTGCTTCAGCCTTTTGAGAACATCCAAGTCGCCGAAATTTTCTGCGGCGGTTTTGCGGGCTGGTCCCAGGCTGCTTGGTGCTTGTCTGACCGGGGCCTTAAGATACGCACAGCTTGGCTGCTTGACATCGACGATGACACGGAGGACCCGCTTAAGACCATGTTTCCTGACCTTCAGGTTGCAGGGTCTGCTTCAGATATTTTGGAACTTGATCCGGACGATGGCCCCTTCCTTTTGCAGGCAAACTTGGAACATTCGTGGTGGCACCAGATCTGGGGTGTCTCAGCCCCCCAGATCTTGACTTGCTCGCCACCTTGCCAGCCCTGGAGTACAGCTGGGAATCAGGGGGGCCTTGATACTCCCGACGGGAGGCTCCTTCTTCGGTTGGCGGCTATCTTGAAGGTTGTCAGGGTTCCGGTTGTTTGCTTGGAGGAAGTTGTCGGATTTGCTGCTCACAAAGACTTTCAGACTGTCATGTTGGCTTGGCAAGAAGCTGGCTACCGCCGTGTGTATGAATCCTCCTTGCAGCTAGCTGAAGTGTGCCCGACACGGCGCAATCGGCGCATGTACATCTTTGTGCACTCCTCTGTTAGCCAGGATGAAAGCGCCAAGTTCTGTCAGACATTGTGGCAACCAGTGCGCCGACCTAGCTTAGGCGGCCTCCGTGCAATCTTCGAGGACCTCCCTGGTGACCTTCGAAACCCCTGTTCCCTAAGCCCTGAGCTCCTCGATGTCTACTTGGACCCGTGGTTCCTGCCCCCAGGGCATGGTAGTTCGCTGGAGGCGGCTAGAAAGTTCAGACTTTGCACACCGGCCCAGCAAGCTAAATGTTTCATGGCCTGCTACCACAGACAACATACACTACCTCCCAGGATGCTGGAACGAGGCGGCATACTGTGTTCGCTGGCTCACCTTGACCATGAAATTAGGTTCTTCGCCGCACCTGAGATCGTTAGCTGTCACGGAGCCCAGAAAGTGCAGTTGCTGTTGCGAGACGACAGTACATCCATGCGCATTCTTGGCAACAGCCTTGCTGTACCACAGGCCCTGCTCACACTTGCGCATGCGGTCCAGTTCTTTCCTTGCTGTGGAAAGATCGACCCAGCCTTTGCAGTGCACTGCTGTCTTCAATCTAGGTTGCATGCCGGTAACAGCGCCCTCTTTCAGGTGCCTAAAGGGTGGCTTTTGGTTGATAGGGGTTTCCTAGGCCAACTTCTTGCCCGTAAGACCCTACGCCTGGACATCGAACACCACATGTGCCTTGATGCCCCAACATTCCATGAGCTGGAGGTTGTATGCCGGGAAAGCCACAATGCTGCTCAGGTCGTTGTGCGAACTGCTTTCTTCAACTCGCAGATTGCTCTGCCAGCTTTGTGCGAAGCCTTGGGCTTACAAGTTACTGGGGAAATGCCGATGGCGGCCGCTGCCACAGCAGGTCCAAGCATCACGATCCGGGTGGACGGGCTCACACCCTTGTGGCTCGATGCCTCTCCTTGCGTCAGGGCGCAGTGTGGCGCACCCATACAGCTCTGCACGTCTGCGGGGCTGGTTGTTGTGCAACCCTCGGTGCCGAATTTCTTTCATCAGCTTAAGTGGGCATTTGATCGCTGCCGGCTCGAGGGTCAGCCAAGTGTTGTGTGCCTGTCCTGTTTTGGGACACGGTTGGACGATGCTGCCCACTTCCCGCCAGTCACATTTGTGGCGGGGTCTGCCAACGACATTCACTTCCATTCGCCCTGCCTTGATCAAGCACATGTGCGAGAGAGCCGCATTGTTGCAGTTCCGCCATGCCTGAGCATTGTTGTGCCACATCCTTTCGCTGTGAATTGGTGGCTACAGATGCCATACCACTTGCTTGAATGTCTTGGGTGGATTGCGGAGGCTGATGACTTCTTGCCGGCGCAGGACGAAGCACTGCACATCCTGCTCCGCCCGGCCACTGCCACGCCGATTGTCCCTCCTGGGTCCTTGCGACTGTACCTGCGCGAGGTTTTCTTCTTTGCGCAACTTAAGGATCTTGCCACCAATCCCAAGGAGCTTTTGGTTGGTCCATTCCATGTGCAGGTTGATGCCAGGTCCATTGGTGACGTGTGCTTACCGGGCGCTATCACGCCGGATGACATTGAAACTACATGGCAAAACGCCTGCCACTTCGCGGGCACATGGCCTGGCGGGCGTGTCTTCTCTGGGCCCCGGCGTCTGGACGGCAACTTGTCGTTGCAGGAGCTGCTTGATGCAGGCTTGTGCCAGATAAAGCAACGTAACCAGCTTCCCATGCTCACCCTCATGCCTGAGGTCCGTGGCGGAGGAGTTAAGGACGAGAACACTTCTTTTGCAAAGAGTAAGCTTGCATCCCTTTTGCTTGATCGAGGCGTCCCTCTGGCCCAGACTCATGAGACTGTCGACTCGCTTGTACCTGCCATTGGGACCGCTGCTTGCATTAGCGCACTGCGTCAGACTGACACACAGAAGCAATGGAAAACACTGTGCCATGCGGCGCAGGCTACTGGCCTCACCTTGCCCACTGGGGACAACCGTGCGGAGACTGCCGCACAACGAATCCAGAAAGCCGTCCGCAAGCAGCGGCTGCAACAACAAGCACCGGTGCGAGCGTCTGATTTTATCCTTGAGCCTGACACGTGGTGCGGCATTGATGACCAACCGGTCCCAATACTGGAAGACATTACGGCAGATTGCTCGGGGGTGGTCTTGGTGGACGCATCGACCACAAATGCTCAGGATCTTGCTTTGCTCCGCAATATGAGCTCGGAGGCGCTTTGCCTGGTCCTGCCGGGCCATCGCTGCCCCGACCCGGACACATGCTCGGGGCGTACGAGTGTTCCGGTGTGCCATAAAGTCACAGGGCGAAGGCACTTGCTTGCAGCATGCTACCATAATGTTGGTGAGACAGACATCACGCCACAAATCCAACATGGTACCAGAGTTGATTCTGAGGACACTGTTTGTTGCTCCTTCACAATGTGCCAGGAAGACTTTCCTGCTGAAGCTCAATGGAAGGACTGCGCTGCCGCTCCAGTGCGAACTGTGGTTGAGGCCTTCCGCACCAAGGGTGTCGACAGTGCTCTCCATCATCCTTGGGCCCGCACTTACCGTGCCTCTGGGCGCCCTAGCCAGCCCCACTTGTGTGATCAATTTGTCTTTTACGCCAAGGTCCCGCAGGGCAAGCTTCGCGCTGTGTTGCAATGTAGTGGGTTTAACAGGGTGTACGTCGTGCCCCGGTCCTGGGACCGACAGCTCTTGCCGGGTTGGGCTGTTGTGTGGCTTGCACTGCCACGCTCAGAGATTGAGAAGCAGGCCCTACTTGTTGCTGAACAACATGGATTGGTGAAAGGTAAAAACAAATTTGGCCTTCGTGTGCCTGCGGCCTCTTTCCGAAAAGTTTTCACGCAGTTGCGACCGGGAGATGCGGTGCCGGACCATCTTGAAATCAGCGAAACCTTCAAGGTCGGCCCCTTCCCTGCTGCCGCTTCTGCAGATGCAATCAGGGAGTGGTCCAAGCGCATGTCCTGGCCCACCAAGGTCATAAAGAGTCTGGGCCCCCAGTTCTGGCTGCTTGGGTCAGCATCGGAGCCGCCTGCTGCAACCATGCTCTTCAACAACACTCCGGTTCTTGCCACTGCTGTTAAGGGTCGCGACCAACAGCGACCTGTGGTGCAGGCTGGCGGGCATGTGCCGCGTGCTGCTAAGACTACGAAAACTCCTGCTGAAGCAGAGGACCCGTGGCTCCACAATGATCCCTGGAGCTCTTACAAAGCCTCGCATACTCCAGGTCCAGCTAAGGCGGCTTCTGCATCGACCACCCCTCTTGACAGTTCTTCTGCCACGCGCCTGACACAACAAGATGACCGTATTGCTGAGCTTGAGCGGGGCCTCCAACAATTGCGTGATGAGCATGCCGTTGCCAACCTTGAACGAGCTAGGGATAAGGCTGCCTTGCAACATGATATTGGGGTCGTGCGGGCCGATGTGCAGCAGCTTGGCACTGGCCTCCGACAGGATTTTCAGGCATGGACTGCAAGCCTTACCAATGCACAGGCCCAGCAGGATCAGCAAATTGCAACCGGCATGGCTGAACTGAAGGCCTTGATCCTTGCGTCCAACGAAAACAAGCGTAAACAGGGTGATGCAGACCTGTGACTCGCGCTGATCTGTTCTGCCTATGATTGGGAAAGGAGTGATGAGACACTCCCTTTTGCTGGGGTTCCTGCACAATCCACCATTGTGCTGGGGTGGTCCACTGTGGTGCGTCGGCTCGACGCTGTCGGGACCTTGGGCTTTTCGGCATCGTTCCCGCCTTTTGCCATCGACTCAAGCATACGCCTTGACTGTGTTCCCAGGGCACGCTCCTCCTTTGCATGGAGCCCGGCCCCTCTTGCATTGCACCTTGGATGTCCGTCTGATACCAGTTGTGCGTCTGGGCTCTGTTTGTTCCCTTCCGTGGAGGGCTTATCCTCCTTCTCTTTCCCCTGGACCACCCTGCCGGTGGCTCTTCCGTGCTCGCCTCCTGTGGCACCCTCTTCCGCCAACCGGTTGCTCGTTGATACTCGAGCCTGCCGGTACCTTTCTCGTTGTGGCTTCGCTGCCAATGTTGACGATTGCCCGGGCTACTGGCGCCCTGGTCTGTACAGTGGGCTCCGCATAGGCGAGGCAACTAACCCTGGCCCTTTTCAGCGGACCCTCCATGCCTTTCTGGGACAGACCCCTCCTGCGCAGCAGGAAAGTGGGCCCACCGAGCCCTCCTGTGTTTTTGCAGTTGTGAATCCCACTAGCATCCTTCACAAAGTTCCCGCCCTCCTTGAGCTTGGGGCAGACATTGTTGCTCTTTCCGAAACCTCGGCCGTTCAGCGCGCCCAGCAGGTCACCACCAACGCTTTCCGCCGACATGGGTTCAAAGTTCACTGGGGTTGGGCTGTTCAGCCACATTGTCGGGTTGAGTCGGACAAAACCCCAATGCGTGGCCTCGCGGCTGGGGTCGCCCTTGCTGCCAGAGTCCCGTCGAGAGCGTCTCGCCCGGCCCTGCCCGAGGCCGCTGCGGCTACCTGCCGAATCTCCGAAGCCTTCGTTCGCCTGGGTGCGTTGGAAGTCCGTGTCATAACAGTGTACGGTGTCGCACTCTCCGAACCGGATGCACGTGAGCGCACCAATGCTATACTGCAGCAGGCTTTTGAGCGGGCCTCTCAGAATGCAGTCCCCTGCATTGTTGCTGGCGATTTCAACCTTCGCCCCTTCGACTGTCCCGCTGGCCAGGCCTTCCAGGCACAAGGCTACCAGGATATATTTGACTTGTATAAGGGCAGATGCGGCCATGACCTGCCGGCCACTTGCCGCGGGAGCACTCGACATGATACTGCAATCTTGCACCCTGTGATCGTTCGCCTGTGGATGGATGCGTGGGTCGTACAGCAACAACTTTTCGACTCCCATGATCCCTTGTGTTTCCGACTCCGCACCTGCCAAAGCAGACCCTGCACTAAAGTGTGGCGACTTCCACGTGCCCTGTCGCAGCTTGGTGTTGACAAAGCCCAGTTTGAAGTTGCCTTTTCGACCGTCGCGCCTGCCCTGCGACGTCAGATCCAGGAGTGTGATTCTTGCGAGTCGATCGGTAATGCCTTTGCAGCCTTCTCCGGTGCCGCTGAGGATGCGGCTGACCTTGCACTTCGCCGCCAGCATCTGGCCGACCCCGTTAAGTGCCCAACCCCTGGTCTTTCAAAGGCTTTTCGCGGCCGGTGTCTTCCCCGTAACCTGGTGCACAAAGAGGCTGCCTGCTTGTGCCGCAATGACCGAAGCGGAGGGTATGACCCCGATGTCGAAGTTACCTCTGTACTTGGGCGGCTTAAAGTGCGTCAAGTCCGCCGTTTGGTTGTGTTCCGTCGAGGCCTCTCTACTTGGCGCCTTCGAGGTGCGTCTCCGCTTGATCGCTGCCGGGCGCAACTTGATTCTGAGTGGCGTGCTATCCGCCGGGCCAAGGGGTACCCTCCTGACTTCGTCCAGTGGACACTCAACATTGCATGCTTCCATCAGTTTTTCGCTGATCTGCCCCCTGATGATTGGCTTGATTCCCTGCTTGAGTATGTCCGTTATGATTGTGACTGCCTCACCAGACAGGAGGCCAAACGCCGCCGTGACAATTTTCTGTGCCAGGTCAGTGTTGATGCTGAGGTCGGCGGCTCCCGCCAAGGCTTCCAAGCCATGCGTGCTGCCCCGAATCCTCCTTTTACCGAGGTGCCCTGTCAAGTGCGCTCTCTGGTGCGGCGTACCATGCAAGACCCCCAACCGTCTGGGGAGGTTGAGTATGCCCTGCTTGGGCACGGTTGTTTCCGCTCCGCTTGCCCCGCGCTGCTTTCTTCATCCCAGTGCAAAGTTGCAGCTGCTTGTGACGGCACCGTTCTGCTTGTCGGGGAGGACCTGCCCGTTGAAGGTGAACTTGTCCAGGATTATGTTGCCTGCACGGCCCCTGAACTGCACTCTGCCTTTGCTTCTTTCTGGGGGCCCCTGTGGCAACGTGACTCCGGGCCTGCTGCAACTTCTGTCTCTGCATGGCCCTGCTTTCAGCAACTTCTCGCACGGACTGACCTTACTGGGCCCAAGCTTGACATCATGTGCACACCGGAGCAATGGCAGAACGCCATACGCAACATGTCTTGTCGAAAGTCCACTGGCATCTGTGGGTGGAGCCCCTCCGACCTCAAGCTGTTGCCTTGGGTAGCCATTGACCTCTTGTGTCTGCTGTTCAATACGGCCCTGCCCTTTGGTCTGCCCGACCACCTACTGCGAGCCCGAGTCTGTGTACTCGCCAAGGCCTTCTGCCCTGAGCACATCAAGCAGAGCCGACCGATTACTATCTTCTGTACTTTGTACAGGGTCTGGGGCTCCATCGTGACCAAAAACCTCTTGCGCTCTTGGGCGGCCGTATTCCCGCGTGCTGTTGCTGGGTCCATGCCGGGCCGAAGTAGCCGTGAGTTAAGCTATAAGCAACAGCACTGGATTGAACTTGCTTTGCTTCAGGGCTCCTGTAGGTTTGGGTTCTCGCTTGACATCGTCAAATGCTTCAACCAGCTTGGCTGGCCCCCACTGCGGTTACTGCTAACCCGAATGGGTGTGCCTGCGGAACTTGCTGACTTCTGGTTTGGCTGTCAAAGCCGTTTAAAGCGCCACACTTGTTTCTTGAATGATCTTTCCGAAGGGATTGGATGCTACAACGGGGCGCCAGAAGGAGATCCTTTCAGTGTCGCTGCATTGGCAGTGGTGTGTGCCTTCGCAGAATCCCTTTGCCGTGAGCCTGAGGTGGCCTTCGATATGTATGTCGACAACTGGAGTTGGTCCAGCCTCAGTAGTGCCTCCATCGAGCGTGCGGTCCCCAAGGCAGTGCTGTTCCTACAGTCGTTGTCCTTGCCCATCGACTGGACCAAGTCGTATACCTGGGCCACCACTGCTGCTGGCAGGAAATGGTGGAAACAAGCCCGCGACCGTGTCTTTCCTGCAGGGGTTACCGTCCCTGCTGTCTCTGAGGTGCGCGACCTCGGAGTCGCCTTCAAGTTTGATGGCAGGGCCCACGCTGTCTCCCGGAGTGCTCGTCTGCAGGATGGTATTGACCGATTGGCCCGTCTGCGTCACCAGCCACGCAGCACGCTGCTCAAGGCCTCAATGGTCCAGCGGGGAGTGTGGCCGGCATGCCTGTATGGTGCTGAAGGCCACTCTTTCCAACTTGCGGAACTACACCGGCTCCGAGGCCGTGCTGCCCGAGCCATTGTTGGACACCATAAGGTTCTCTCCCCCTTTCTGGCGCTGAGCGCATTGTCCGATGTTTGCCAGGATCCTCAGGTCTACTGTCTGGAACAACAACTCCAGCTGTTACGGCGGACCTGCATTTCAGAGCCTGACGTCGCACTGTCGGTGATTGAGGTGGCATCCTCAGGGTGTGCAAAAAGTTGCCAGGGTCCGGCCACTGCTCTCCGACAAGCTCTCGACCGTCTCGAGCTCACAATCACCGGAACTGGAGTGGTTAAGGGCGGTGATAATACCTGGGTCGACGTGACCTCCTGCCATGCCCGGGAAATACGGTTGTTGCTTCAGCGATCGTGGGCCCTCCACGTCCAACAACAGGTCTCGCACCGCAATGGGCTGGGCCACGCCCCCCCCCCGGACTCGCGCGAAACTGGCCACCTGCTCAGCCGCCTTTCTTCAAATGAACAAGTCGTGCTCGCCCGGCACATCACTGGCGCCTTTTCGTCCGCAGCCGCAAAGAACCTTTGGGACCCGGAAATACCGGCCGAGTGCCCGTTGTGTGGACTAAAACAGACTAAAGAGCATAAGTTCTTGTGGTGTGCTGCTCTTGCACATGTTCGCGAGGAGCACCTTGACATCATTGAGGAGGTACGATCCGAACACCCCTCATGGATTCATGCACCCTATGCCGCCACACCACCCGACATGGAAATCAACCGACTCATATTTGCGACCCGCTCCCTGCAGTATCCCAAAGTTGATTTGCCTACCGGCCCTCTCCTGCAAGGGCGGGGGTTCCTTAGGTTTTTCACTGACGGGTCCTGCCGCCATCCTGCGTACCCAGAAGCATCGCATGCTGGTTATGCGGTTATCTTGGATACTAGCCTTGACGATGCCACGCTACCTGCCATCATGGAGCGCTGGCGGGAAACTGCGGTTCCCCCATGCGAGTTCAGGGTTGTGGATCAGGGTTTGGTCCCAGGGTTGCAGAGCATAAATCGTGCCGAGCTTTGTGCCATCATACAGGCGGCCCGCATCATACACATGTTCGGCTCCCCACCTGCTGTCATATGGACCGATAGTGCCTTTGCCATTGCTGAGTGGGAGCGCGCCGGGAGTGACTTGCCCGGTACTTGGCCGGACCTAGCAGCCTTGCTTAAGCGCTTGTATCGTGCCAACATAAGTCTCCTGAAAATTGCGTCCCATCAGGACGCTACCAAGCTCGAGGGTCTCCAGCGATGGCTGGCCGCCGGCAATGAGGCAGCGGATACGGCCACAAAAGCTGCAGTGTTGCGAGATCTCGATTGTGTTACCGCCACCGCAGACCAAACGCAGAGTTTCCAAATGCACCAGCGGCGTCAGCTTTCTTCATTCTGGAGATACTTGCTTGCACTTTCCCTTGAGGAAGCTAAGTTGCTTAAGGCGAAAACCAGTGCTGCCCCGTTACCAGTGACATCCGGCAACACTGATACAACATATGCTGCCTGGATTTCCCTGAACTCCCGCAACTACATTTCATGGGACGTGCCGCAGTACCAGCGTGAATGGCTCCTTGCATGCAGCTGGCCCCCGGATTATACCCTTGCTTTATGGTCCTGGCTGAGATCGTTGCAATGGTCGGTTCGTGCGCCGCACGAGCGAGCGACAAGTGGTGTTACCTACGTCGAGCTCCTGGTTCACTTTGTTTTCACTACCGGACAGTGCCCACCAAGTCGACTGGTGGCGCCAAATGTGACAGACACTACTTCGGATCCTATGCTGGTGGAACCTATTACGGTGCGTCAGCTGACTCACAGTCTCACGGAGGCTGTGCGGCAGTTGGAGCGCCTCTCAGGTTTGCCACTGTGGCCGGAACGCCGCAGCAAAGTTTTCTCCTTGCGAACTCTTGGACAGAAGGAGGCTCGGATCGGTCTTAACCTCCGGCCCTTCTTCGATCGAGCTACGGAGATGGTGAAGTTGTTGCATCAAGTTGTACAGCAAGCGAGTGTCCAACCTCTGAGCAGCTTTTGCCGAAACCTTGGTCGTAGACCTCCTTCGGAGAGTACAGACTTGCTGCGAGTTTGGCATTGCATTAGCACATCTGAGCGTGCCAATATGGCTCGCAGCCTGCGAAGGTGCAGGTGAAATCGTCCGCCCGACTGCTGGACAAGGAGGCTCGGTGCTGCTTCAGCTAGCCCGGGTCCTCCCTCATACCCGGTGAAAGGTTCAGAGGTTAGGCGGTGTAGGGTTTGAGGGTTTGGGGTGCTTAGAGCCCAGAGCCTCCAAAACCCCTTAATTAAGGAATATATCTTAAATGATAGTAGGATCCCTTATATGATTTAAGGTATATTCCTTAATTAAGGGCTTTTGGAGGCTCTGGGAGTGACAGTGCGGGAGGTTTGGGCAGCTTGCTGCACTTGCGTGAAATTTCGGCCTTTCAGGGCTGGTGGGGTATCCGGTTGCGGTTTAGGGTTTAGGATTTAGGGCTTAGGGTTTAGGGCTTAGGGTTTAGGGTAGTTTAGGGCTTAGGGTTTAGGGCTTAGAGGGTTTAGGGTTTAGGGCTTTGGGTTTAGGGTTTAGCGATGTTCCTGGAGCCCGCCCTGCGCAAGCTGTAAACCCAAAAAGTCCAGCCATGAACCCCGTGACTCCACATGACCTGCGCACCCACTCTTTGCCGCAAGCTGCCTGAATAATACTATGTAGAACAAACACCCCTCCCAAAGCCAGCTGCTGCTTGTGAAGACCGCCATAAGGTAGACCCTGGGTTGTGTTCGCTTGAGTCCGATGATATCAAGGGGTGACCATAAACATCCTTGATTCAATTCTAGAGTTCCAGCATGCAAATGTATGAATACAACTGACAGTATCCTCTTTTAGTCCGTATACGTTTATGTGCATTTCCATGAGAATGTACGCCAAAATCCTATTCTGATTATAGAAGCCTCTAAAACCTTGCGAACACCCATAATATCCTTTATCCCTCAGAGTAGTGCTGCTCAGGTTATTTTATTGGGGCCCTATACCCGAAATTTCCCAGCATGGTTCGAGCTGGTCCTATGGTTGCTAGACATATCCCTCATGGCTTCTATATGATTCTGAGTTTTGATTATATACTGCAACTTTTCTGCACGATGCCCAAACCCAGGTTCAAATTGCTATTAAGGCCCCTACTGACTTTGCTAAGGCCAGGGAGCGGGTGCAGGTTCTCCATATCTCCTCCAGGCGGCCACATGGGTTTGGGTAAAACACATATTTGTCGGAGATGTATTCATTTTGCCTTGTCGTTCTTTCTGGCTTGTTTGGCTTGCGGCCTTCAGATGTCATCCCTAGATGCCAAACTCCTAGACCTTGCACGCATCTCTGGGTAACTAACCTGGATGCAGCAGATTTCGGCTGAGGCTTCTGGGCCATCAGGTTGTGGGAGGAAGGTTTAGGATACACGGATACCCTGATGGTCGGCTGGGCAGTGGTTCAAGATTTGGGAGATCTCATAGGATCATGGAACAAGGCAGACTTGAGGTAAATGTTCGATCAGCAGTCTATGTCCAGTCTTGCGTGGGATCCGAAGTCGTGAAGACATGATAAGCAAAACCTGGAACCCTGAAGCACTGAGACCCTGTACCCCAAACTAGCCCGAAAAAAAACAAAAATCTCGTACTCTCAAACTCCTCCACCCTCGTAAAGATTCCGCGGCTCTGCTCCCCCGGGCTTGCCATTCGACACTTGGTGTTTAGATGCTCCTTGCTTGGAGGTTCATGGGTGCGTATGAGTGGGGTTATACTTGGAGGGTCGGGGGACTTAGTAAGTAGGTAGTAAGTAGACTTATAAGTACCCTAAACGGGACCCTAATTGGGGTTATGGTACTTATAAGTCCCTACAATAACCAGTTACTAAGTCCCCCGACCCTCCAAGTAAGTCCCCTGGTATGAGTCGTAGGTATAGTCACTCTGCTTATAACTCCATCTGCCACTACCCAGGAACCTCCAAGTGTGTTTGCTGATATATACACAAGAAAGCCCATATCTCCTTCGACGACTCGTCTTTGAACTCAGTGGTTCTGCGCATTGCTCTGTAGACTTTAGACTACGAGCCCCAACGACTTCGAGCATGATAGTATATCGGTAGCAAATTGGGGTACCTTATTTTGGGATCATTATAAAAAGGATCCTACTATTTAGGGTACTATACTATGGGTTCTCCTATTAATTGGAGCATCCTTATCCTCGTCTCAAGTCTAATGCTTAGGAAATTGCAACACTAATCAACCCGAGTCCATGTTCCACATTTTGGGTTTGCTTGGCTGCTTTGTGCCGCCGAAGGGTTGCCACTCACGGAAACACCCCAAAACCCTACTGAGTCTGATTATTCGGTTTAGGACCCACACCCGACGTCCCTAAATTCCGCAAACCTGTTCTTGTTAACGTGGCTGGAAACCGTACATCTCCAACACACTCGGAGGTTCATGCGCAGTTTTATGTTAATTAAGTGAGGTGACAAGTGGGTTTCTGACCCACTTGGTACTACCCATGAACCTCCAAGCAGAGCTTCAATCCCAGAACTCTCAATCCCATAACCAGTACCGCGTGTACCTACGCATCGCACGTCTTTATACAGAAAAGACCTTATCAACCGGAGCCTAAATGATTAGTAATAGCATCTTGTGGGTTCCTTGTATAGCTATCGTATAATATCACCCCAATCGCTGCTTTAGGCATTGAAGCACCTAATAGCCGCCTACGTCCTTTCCTGCGCTAGGGCACTGCTGGAGGTTATGGCCTGCTATCCAGGCGATTTCGGGTTCAGGGCTTCAGGGTTCAAGGCTCAGGCTTTATGGGTCTATAGGTTACAGTGTTGGGAGGTAGAGTTTCGGGCCTCAGGGTGCTGTAGGGCTTTGGGTTTGAGGGTTTAGGGGGCTTCGGGGTGCTTGTTGGAGTTCGACGATGCATTCATATTATGCAACGATTTGTGTTTGACTGTAAGATGGATGGTTCATGGTTGGAATCCTCAGGCGTATTGGAAAAACTATTAGCAGTTCGAACGGGGTTTTTGAGGGGATACTATAGCATGATGTTCAGGGTGCCATAAGCGGGTATAACTAGTAATGACTAATTATATCGAGCTCTACTACGCTCCGAGTTCAAGGGCTTTCGGTTAACTCAACTGCCTCCAATGGTGCATGGCTGCATTCAAACATTCCCGAAACACTAAGCCGAAAGCCAACTAACTTCGCCTTGAAAACCCTAACTCATACGATCCTAACTTTGAGGATCCCTAACCCCTAAACACCTATAGTAGACATATACGGCCCCCTTACCGTACCCCAAACCTTTACAACCTAAGGACCCCTAAGAAAAGGACTTTCTTTCGAGACCCCAAACCCTACTTGCAGGTTCATGGGTAGTTTTAAGTAGGGATATAAGTTCCTTAATATGGGTTAGAATTATTGTTACCCTACTTATAACCCCACTTATAACTACCCATGAACCTCCAAGTAGGCCCTAAACCCTATAACCGTTTAGATTCCCTACAGATCGGACCCTTAAAGGAACCCTTATGGCTACCCATGAATCTCCAAGCAAGCTCTAAACAGAGGCCTACGGCTTTCCGCTATACTGTCGGACCTCTAGGTGCTTCGGGGAGCCTTAGTTTTAGGATGCTGTCGAATCTTAGCAGTCTAGGGTTTAGGGTTCTGAACCCCGCGTGTTGGCAGTACGGATTCCAGTATTATCGAAAGGCATTAGCTCCTCTATGCCCCGAACTATGAGCCCAAACACTTGCAAACAAGACCCCTAATTAAGACACATAGCGTGGTTACACTACCCACAAGCTGGAAGCTCTGCGACAGCTGTAAGGTTGAAAGTGTACGGTAATTTAACTAAGGTGTCGGTCCGGGACGCGGGAGTAATCACGAAACCCCAAACCTGGGTACAAAATCCGAAATTTCCAGACTCTACACTCATCCTCAAATCTTGCAACTTGGACCTTTGACCCGAGGCTTTTCAAGCTTGAAGCCTTACGCTGTACACTTTAGGCCTTCTCTAGGGGTGAGGTTTACAAGTTTACAAACTGGTAAGCCGACCATTAGCAAGTAGGAATTAACCACCAAATCCTGAGCCTAAACCCTAGACCCTCTTTAAAAAAAAAGACCCTAGACCCTAGTAGTAGAGTAGGTAACCTTTAACCTTATTTGAGTAGTATAGTCCCTATATAATCCCTCCATAACGAAAAAGGTTAACCTTTAGTTCCCCATGATACCCGACAAGTACGAGACACTGAACCCTAAGCCCCAAGCTCCTTTTCCTGTGAGCGCAGGTATGGCATCGATCTACATGTCGCGTTCCAGACAGACCTCCGTGGTCCTGCAGCAGAGCCTTACCAGGCCACTTCACAGTTTAAGGTTTAGGGGTTAAGGGCAGTTTAGGGTTTAGGGGTTTAGGGAAATCCGCGGCCTTGAGTCCTGACTCCTGGAACAGTCAGTTATTGCTGCCACTAGGCTTATTGCCACTAGTCTTGTTGTTCCTTTTGTCACTCTTGTCATCATTGTGCTTGGCACTGTAACCATGGCCATAACTACCTATAAGTTGAGTCACCACAAGTCGTGGCGGCGGCGGTGGTGGTGGTGCTGCTACTACTACTGCTGGTCGTGGTGGTGATGGTGGTGATGGTGATGGCGGCAGCCGTGATTGGCCTCGTGGGAAGTGTGTTGGTGTATCATCATGGCCATCAGTGTTCGAAATGTTCGTTTGTTTTCCTTTACTCATTGTTGTTGAACATTACTGCTACTCTAGTGCAGGCGGACACTGCACGTTCATGGCAACAACTGAAGCCTGCCAGGCCCGCAGATGTCCTAGCCGGTATGAAGCTTTTCTACGGCTCCCCGGACGCAGAGTCGATGTCGACGGAAGCGTTAGATGAGATCGTGAGACTTCAGGTTCAGTTCATGTGCCGTGCGTGAACGCTACAAAACTTGCCGTTTTAGGATTCCTGATTATTATAATTATCTTCTGTTGTTGTTCTTAGAAATGGTAGGTTCCTCGGGTTAAGGCAAGCCCTGAAATCTGAACCCTGAGTCCATCTACCATAAACCTTCATTCCATGAATGGTATCGGCTCTGTATACTTCATCTGCAGGTTCCTAGTCAAAATTAATCAAGCGAGTCGTTTAATATGGTTTAGGGTTGAGGGTTTAGGGGTTTCGGGTTTCGGGTTGGTTTTAGTCTTGAAGGTTTCGGGGGACAATTCCTCAACTCAAGGACGAACAGGCTGAGTCATGTCGGGCTTGTCACGGTTGATGATTTACAGGTGCTTTCTGCTGGCTCGACGAAAAACGAAGTGAATCATTCAAAATGTTTAGGGTTTACAGGTCATGTCCCCTAACTCCGAAGAGATCATTTGAGTAATTCAAGATTTAAGGTATTTTGTGTCCAGTTAAAGACCTTAGGGAGCATTCCTTTCAAAGGACAGCGAACGTAGTGGCGGCAGATAAGGATTCTCCAACATGCCCGCAACGCCCTAAACCCTGAACCCGTAAGTTTCTTGCTTTCAGGCACTAAGCATGAGATAGCAAGGTGAAACAGCTGTTCGAACGCAAGGACACCCATAATTTGGCTTCTTGTTAGGAATTCAGTTGAAGTTACCATAATAGGGACCTATAGTAAACGGTTTCCCTATTATGGTAATTTTAAATAGTTTCCTCAGCAAGAGCCCAGTATTTACACCGAACCCTAATTCCACTTTCCCGAAACATCCTGAGCCCAACACCCCAAACCCCAAAGGATACTCCTAAGCAAAGGCATGGAGCCTGGCTTCATCCGGCTTCTGACAAACATCGCAGAGCGTAAGATGAACTTCCTCGGGGATGTGGTCAAGGCCGGGAGCTTATCCTTAGGGGTACTTAGAAATAGTTTTTTTAATTTGGGATTATTATAACCCCAAAGAAACATCTAAAAACATGCTTGTTGCTAGGGTTCTAAGTTCAGTATAGTATCGGGCTTTTTGGGGACACCGGCTTGAAATCTGGATTTGGGGCTTTAGGGTTTCACTTGGAATGAGAGTGCCCAGTGGTTGAACTCGTGAGACACCCACTGCATGTTTGCGATGGAACACCAGTTCAGAAGGTTGCACAGACTAGCATTTCGAGATCTCAGAATTCATCCATCGTAGCACTGAGAACATAGGTAGCACGCGTTCGGATCAGAAGATCATTCTGTGCAGCCTCCTTGAGCATTTTACGAGCAGTAATAAGCATGTCAGGAGGGATGCTAGATCTGAGTACATCAACAGCCTAATGGTATGCCCGACTGTTGTGGAAGATCTGCCAAAGGTCCAGTGCCCCACTCGCATCAGAAAGCTCTTTGTGTGCTTCGACCCATCCCACCTTTACATCCCGACAGCATCCAGGGCGTAAGAAATGAGCCGCAGTATGGAATAAGTCCCGGTCAGGATGAGTGGCCCATTTGGGTTCGTGGTAACCATGGTAAATAAGATAAGGACTTAGGGTTTAGGGTCGCCTGTGGAATCTGGATCCCACTTCAAAAACTCGACGTTAACATAAGAATGCGGGTACAGAGATATTTCTTGCCCCTAATTAATATTGGCAGGAGGCGGGACCCCCTCAGTAGAGATTCGAGAAGTGTTTTAAAAAATAAACCGCCCAAACCACTCGTCCCCAACCCTCAAACCCAAAACCCTTAACAACCCCTACACCCAAAACAAGACCTGAACCCGTAAACCCCTGAAGCCCTAACCCCAAACCCTAAACCTCTAAATCCCTAAAGCCTAAACCCCTAACACCCCAAACCCTAAACCCCTAAAACCCCTAAGTTCCAGGAAGAAGGCAGCACAGACCGAACTCTACGGCTGCAAGAGTTCGGCAAGGTCCGTGCGGAGACGGAAGCTGAAGGCTGCCCTCTCTTAGGGATACTTAGGGTTAGTTATACAGGTTGTGTTAATGGTCCCTTTAATGGGATCTATAGGGATTCTATAGGGTTTAGGGGTTTATTTAGATCAGAGAATCCATATAAAGTAAAAGCCAGAAAGTAGGAATATGATTATCCTAAACCCTGTATGGTAAATTATAGGGTATCCTACCCTGAAACCATATTCCAACTTTCTGGAGTTCCCTTTACACTACCATGATGGAATTATATATTTCCCCAAAACCATTATGGAATTAGCTCCCCAAAACGAATGCGGGTGGTCTTTTGGTACCTAATTCCATAAGGGTACTGTATATGGACCCTCGGGGTTTTTTAGGGTTTAGGCCGTGGGGCTTATAGGATTTAGGATTTGGAGTGGTTTCAGGGCTTCCTCAAAGGGGTTTGGGATTGAGGATTGGTTTAGGGGCTGTTTCGATCAAGGGGTACTACAAGAGCTACTGTGAGGGGGGTTTTGGGTTTGCGCGGTTTAGTTTTTGTGGGGTTTCGCGAATTAAAGTTTGGGGTCGCGGTTACAGTAAGAGTTGCTAGAAGGGTTTCGGGTTAAGGTTCTCGGGGTTTGTGACCGGGTGGTTATGTCACAAGGCTTGGTTATGGGTTGTTGGGGTTTAAGTGTCCAGGGGTTTAGGGTTGAAGGCTGCCGACTCCGCATGTTCCGCTTGTTTGGGGTTTGCGGAGCACCCTACTCTAAAGTTCTTGTCCAGTCACAGAAGTGTATAGCTACCTTGCTTATGATCGTATTTCCTGAGTCTTCCGACCCTCTCAGTACACCCTCAGACCGCATACCCAAGGCCTCTGGACTTTATTTGAACATTCATACCACAAAACCGAAGCCTACATTCCCTGGTGCTTTAGACTCTATAGTCAGAACCACGAAATACAGATCTGTCTATTGTGTACATATTGCTGTCCCTCGATCGTCCCTAGACTTTACAGTCACCTCCCTGCTTACTTTTGCTCTCCCACGGCCTCATTCTTACGCCTGCTGCAAGAACAAGATAACTGTGATGGGCTAATGTGGGTAGTTCCTTGGCATAACAAGCACGGTAGCTGATTAGGTGACCTTAAACCGTTTTGGGCAAGCAGAACCTTGATATGTTTGCAAGAACAGCCTTCTGTATTGGGATGGCGCAGCTCAGCAACAGCTAGTCAACCAACCATCAACCCCTAAACCGCCCTGAACTCCCAAGGACTAAACCATAAACCCCAAGCCACCTCGAAGACCCTGAGGCCCGTAAGTCCACTAGGAACTCACCAACTCGGCGAGCAATCTCCCCGAGCACCAAGCAGTAGACACACGAGCACATTTGGATCTGCTATATGCCTACATCTCTATCTGTGTCGGTATTTCTATCTCTACCTATAAATATCTAACTCTACATACACATAGACAGAGATATGTATGTAGATATGGAGAGAGGGAGGGGAGAGTTCATGGTTTGCGGGTTCAAGGACATGCTTGTTGGGAACCTTCTGGCGCATGCACACATATGTACATGTTTATATACAACATGTGACATGTGTAGCTCTGAGTACGTGTTTGTGTGTGTGTGCATGTACGCACATATGTACATGTTCACGCACTGTGTGGTGGCATGATGACTTTTGCATGGTTCAACGAAGCTGTACAGTATACCCTTCCGTAATATCTGAAACAGCATGCAGCTGTGCTTACCTACAATGCAAACCCTACACCCCGGACAGGCTGCGTCTCTATCACGGACGTGGGCACCGTGCTGGGCGAGAAGATGTTCTTGGGATGGCGAGAACGATCCCAAGCAGCTCTGCTGTCTATTCACGTGCTGGCGGTTTAGGGGTTAGTAGGGGTTGGGGTGTCGGGCTTAGAGGTTGAGGACTTCAGGGTTTCTAGGTTCGAGTGCAGGGTTTCAGAGCTTCATGCAGAGGTCTGAACGATTAGTGTCGTCAGCCCTCCCCGATAATCCGTAGACACTAGACGATAATCTGCCCCAAAAGCTATAGGGGCATTAATCATGACCTATACTATCTTGGGGGTTTCTTACTGTATGTGTAGTACAATATACCCCAAAACCCTGTCCCAATTATCAGGGGCCCTATATTAAGCCACCCCCCCCCCCCATACTCGCCGTTTTGGTAGACCAGCTTCCGAAAGAAGGAAGCAGGGTAGCCAAAGCAAGACACGGCACATGAGGTTTAGGGCTTAGGGTTGTGAGGGTCCAGGCAACCCAGATTGGTCCGAATTCCGCAACCTAAACATCACAGGTCCTCAACCCTAAAACCCCAAATGCTCAAGCTGAGTTGATCCCTACACTTCGGAAGCAAGCCATTGTTCAGTCCTAGCTACCCTCAGCTTGGCCGCGTTTGCGCGAGATCAAAAACCTACTGCCAATTGCGCAACCTTTTAGGGGTGAGGATGGGGGACTTAAGCGTTTGAGTCTACAGGCTTAGAGTTTAGGAAGGGTGAGGAGTTCAGGGTTCAGGTTTTAGGGTTTGGGGTGGGGTTCGGGGGGCACGCCGCATGGGCAAGACTATGCCAAAAAGTATTGCGGTGTGATACTGAGCATACTGCCGCGTTTACTGATGCTCAGAACAACAATAATCCCAATATTCCAAACCGGTCTAAGACTTGCTCACTAAAATAAAATCTACTGAAACAAATATAAACATTATACAAGTGTATGTACATATATATATATATATATATATGTTGGCTGTTAGGCTTAGGGGTTTAGGGTTTAGGCTTAGGGGTTTAGTGGTACAGCGTTTGGGGCTCGGAGGCTTTTGCGCACCATGTTCTTACGGCTTGGCTATTCTAACTCTAAGCCGCCACAAGTGCAGATTTAAGAGTTTCTTGGTTGCAACCCCAAACCGGAAAGACACTAAAACCGAAAAAGGTTTAAGGCTTAGCAACCCTTAATGGAACTCTGAAAAAGACCCAAAAGGGTGCAGGGTTCGGTCGCCGAGTTTAAGTTTAGCGTGCCTTTCGAGGCGACGTTCCGTGTAGCGACACCCATCGCCGTGATGCTTTGGAATCTCGGCTCTGTTTGGAGGTTTCAAAGCTTAGGTGAAGGCTTCAGGATTTAAGGTTTGAGGGCAAGGAGTTTACTGTATGGAAGTTCGTAGCTCAGGGTTTCGAGCCTGTTTAGGCTTCAGGCTAGCAGCCGTCTTTCCGAGAATTTCAACAAAACCTTTCGATCTAGTTAAGTTGGGCTCGAGAGAATCTGTTGATGCCAGGAGCTGACACAACCTTGACCCGTTGCCTGGGTGTCGCGCACTAACACCTTGACATGAATGACAAACTTCAAGCCCGATATAGCAGGTGCCAGAGTAGTTGGACCATGGTTCCGGTGGTCTTATAGTGAAACAACATGAAAAAACCCAAAGGAGCACATTTCAAACTCTTCTAACCCCTTTTTTCAAACCCTATAAGCATACGAGCTAATCGCTACATCTTAGGTCCTAAACTTTACTGTAGGGACCTTAACTTAGAATAGAGTTTTGGGGGGTTGCTTATTACTGTCATATTAGACTATACCCCCCAAACCCTATTCTGATTATGAAAGCCCCTATATTACGTCTTATCAGCTCCCACAGTCGATAGCTCCGTCAGGATTGCACAGCATCACTTCGAGAATCTCCTCGAGAACAACCCCTCGGACGCTTGTCGGTTTAGGGTTTGGGGATTAGGAGGGACTTGGAGGGAATAAGGGATGTAGGATCTACTTGGAGGCTCATTTGTAGTTATCAGTAATCAGTGGGGTTGTAAGGAGGGTGACTGTAAATACAACACATATTAAGGGGCTTATAACCCTACTTATAACTACCCATGCGCCTCCAAGCACTATAGGGGCCCTCAGGATCTGAAACAGAGTTTCGGGTATATTGTAGTAGCGGTATACAGTTGCTATACGGGGATACTCGTTTGGGACCCAAGAATAGGGGAATCTTATGAACAATCAGATTTAGGATTGGGGACCTCAATTACTACTCAGCAGTTTAGGGTTTAGGGTTCGTAGCTTCTGGGTTATATGTTATAGTATAGATGTATAAGCATCATCAGGGGGATACATCTTCGATTTATTTCTTCCGACTTCTAGTCTGAAGATTCGGGTGTTGGACTTGAGGTCTAGGAGTTTGAGCTTTGGGTTCAGGATTAAGATTAGTTATTGTACTCTAGCCTCATGTGTTTGTTGCTCCTCAATTGCGGGTCCTTCTGAAGTATTTCGGAAGGGAGCCCGCACCAAGAAAAAGCCCAATGTGGGATGAAGAAAAGGCGAACAGAACGGGCTTGCTTCCACAAGAGCCCCCTAAAACGATGACCACGAAACCCGCAAGGAAAGCCCTCCGGGTTTTTGAGTGCAGTAGTCTCATCCCGGTGTACTTCTACCACGCCTATGAAAGATACGGTCGGTGCAGCATCGTTCCATTTAGGCCCCTCTGCTCGGGATTTGCATCGGTTGACAGGCTTGTCGGATGTACAGTCTTGGGGGCCTTAAGGTGCAGTAGCGAGGGTTTCTCCTCTTTCGCGTTAAAGAAAGGCCTACCGTACACTTGACTGGGTCTGGGGTGTAGCATCCCATTGGCATGCATGTCAAGGCTCAAATGTTCGCAGAGCTTCGTGGTTAGTGGGATCACAGCTTGTCATCCCAAGATGCCGGCCTTTAGGTCGAAATCTTGATAGTCTCTGAACCCGCAGCCCTAAACCAAGAGGGCCCAACCGGAGACGTCGAAATTGCACGAAACCTTAAACCTGAAAACCTTAGAACCTACTTGGAGGTTCATGGGTGGTTATAAGTAGGGTTATAAGTAGGGTAACTACACTTATAGCCCATATTCGGGCTGCCCATGAACCTCCAAGTAGGCCCTAAACCCTATACCCTTATGTACGTAGGACCTTTAGGGTCTATTTGACGTATGGCTTTGCTTTGTTTATCAATACTATATCAATTCAGGCTTTTCAGATTTTAAGGATTTTAAAGATTTCAGATGCTTTTAAAATCTTTTATTTTTGAAAACCAAGCTTTTCAGATTTTAAAGATTTTAAAGGCTTTTAAAATCTTTAAAATCTTTAATTTTTGAAAACCAAGCTTTTCAGATTTTAAAGATTTTAAAGATTTTTAAAATTTTAAATAGGTGTCGGTGGCCTGGAGCCCAGACCTAACGATTTAAAATTTTAAAAATCTTTAAAATCTTTAAAATCTTTAATTTTTGAAAACCAAGCTTTTCAGATTTTAAAGATTTTAAAGGCTTTTAAAATCTTTAAAATCTTTAATTTTTGAAAAGCTTTTCAGATTTTAAAGATTTTAAAGATTTTTAAAATTTTAAATAGGTGTCGGTGGCCTGGAGCCCAGACCTAACGATTTAAAATTTTAAAAATCTTTAAAATCTTTAATTTTTGAAAACCAAGCTTTTCAGATTTTAAAGATTTTAAAGAAAAGGCTTTTAAAATCTTTAAAATCTTTAATTTTTGAAAACCAAGCTTTTCAGATTTTAAAGATTTTAAAGGCTTTTAAAATCTTTAAAACCTTTAATTTTTGAAAACCAAGCTTTCCAGATTTTAAAGATTTTAAGATTTTAAAGATTTTTAAAAATTTAAATAGGTGTCGGTGGCCTGGAGCCCAGACCTAACGATTTAGAATTTTAAAAATCTTTAAAATCTTTAAAATCTTTAATTTTTGAAAACCAAGCTTTTCAGATTTTAAAGATTTTAAAGATTTTAAAGGCTTTTAAAATCTTTAAAATCTTTAATTTTTGAAAACCAAGCTTTTCAGATTTTAAAGATTTTAAAAGCTTGTAAAATCTTTAAAATCTTTAATTTTTGAAAACCAAGCTTTTCAGATTTTAAAGATTTTAAAGATTTTAAAGATTTTTAAAATTTTAAATCGTTAGGTCTGGGTTCCAGGCCACCGACACCTATTTAAAGTTTTAAAAATCTTTAAAATCTTTAAAATCTTTAATCTTTGAAAACCAAGCTTTTCAGATTTTAAAGGTTTTAAAGATTTTAAAAGCTTTTAAAATCTTTAAAATCTTTAATTTTTGAAAACCAAGCTTTTCAGATTTTAAAGATTTTAAAGATTTTAAAGATTTTTAAAAGCTTAAATCGTTAGGTCTGGGTTCCAGGCCACCGACACATATTTAAAATTTTAAAAATCTTTAAAATCTTTAAAATCTTTAATTTTTGAAAACCAAGCTTTTCAGATTTTAAGATTTTAAAGATTTTAAAGGCTTTTAAAATCTTTAAAATCTTTAATTTTTGAAAACCAAGCTTTTCAGATTTTAAAGATTTTAAAGATTTTAAAGGCTTTTAAAATCTTTAAAATCTTTAATTTTTGAAAACCAAGCTTTTCAGATTTTAAAGATTTTAAAGATTTTTAAAATTTTAAATAGGTGTCGGTGGCCTGGAGCCCAGACCTAACGATTTAAAATTTTAAAAATCTTTAAAATCTTTAATTTTTGAAAACCAAGCTTTTCAGATTTTAAAGATTTTAAAGATTTTAAAGGCTTTTAAAATCTTTAAAATCTTTAATTTTTGAAAACCAAGCTTTTCAGATTTTAAAGATTTTAAAGATTTTAAAGGCTTTTAAAATCTTTAAAATCTTTAATTTTTGAAAACCAAGCTTTTCAGATTTTAAAGATTTTAAAGATTTTTAAAAATTTAAATAGGTGTCGGTGGCCTCCACCCAGCCCCCAGCCTCTAGCTCCAGCCCCCTGACCCAGCCAGCTCGCAGCCCAGCCCCAGCCGCCCGCCCCCACCAGCCTCCACCCCCAGCCAGCCAGCTCTTTCTCTGCCTCTGCCCCCTACACCGGTCTCCAGCCGCCCGCCTCCGCCAGCTCTCCCTCCCCGCCCTCTACCCCCATCCCACCCCCAGCCGCCCGCCCCCCAGCCTCCACCCCCAGCCCTCCTCCCTCCCCCCCCCCTGCCTTTGCCCCTATCCCCCCAGCCCAGTCCCACACCGGCCAGCTCTCCCTCTCTGCCCCCTGCCCCCTGCCTCTGCCCCCCCTCTACCCCCCCTGCCCAACCCGCGGCTGCTTTCCGGTGACTTGCCTTGCCCATCTGCCTCCTCCCGCCCAGTTCCCCAGCCCCAGCCTGCAGCCCCAGCCCAGCGCTCCCCTCAGAGCCTCAACCACCAGCTTTCCTAAGACTCCCACCCCACACCAGCCCCAACCCTCTTTTCCAGAACTCCAGAACAAGGCCCAGCCCGCCCGAAGCCGCCACCAAGAAAGAGCCGCCCCAGCCGAATCCGAAAAGCGCTAAGTTGAAGAGCAGAGGTTTAGCAACTTTGCGTGACAAAATTTGGTGCGATCGGCTGTCAACGTGCTGTAAATACCACACTAAAACCGAGCAGGCGTTTAGCAACTTTGTGTGACAAAATTTGGTGCGATCGGGCTGCGACCTTGTCAAAGTGCTGTAAATACCACACTAAAACCGAGCACGGGTTTAGCAGCTTTCCGTGGCAAAACAAGGGCTAGGGATTTCACACATGCGCTGGTAAAATCTGGCGGAAGTGATCCGTGATCGAGCAGAAAGCCTGTAAATACCGCGTTAAAGCAAGGGCTAGGGATTTCACACATCCGCTGGTAAAATCTGGCGGAAGTGATCGGTGATCGCGCAGAAAGCCTGTAAATACCGCGTTAAAACAAGGGCTCGGGATTTCACACATCCGCTGGCAAAATCTGACGGAAGTGATCGGTGATCACGTAGAAAGCTTGAAATACCGCGTCAAAACCAAGGCTAAGGATTTCACACATCTGCTGGCAAAATCTGGCGGAAGTGATCTCTGATCGAGCAGAAAGCCTGTATAATCCGCGAGCCCCCAGTTCCAGCCCCCAGCCCCAGCCCTCAGCCCCAGCCCCAACCCCGGCCCCCACAATCCCCCCCCAGCCCGCACTCCAAGCTAGCCCAAGTCCGAAAAAGGGCCCCAGCCCCCTGCCCTTAACCCCATGCCTCTCCCCCGCTTCTCCCACCCTGCCTTGCGGTGACACCCCTTGCGATTTGTGATTTTGGAACCTATTTGTTGAAAAAGCCTTTAGGGGGACACTCATTGCGATCTGTGATTCTAGTAATGGAGTTCTTACAAAACCTTAATTAATTAGGGGGACACCCCTTGCGATTTGTGTTTTTGAAACATATTTATTACAAAAACCCTTAGGGTGACACCCCTTGCGATCTATGGTTTTCGGATCTGAGTTACAGGTGTTTTGGTGGACCACAGGTCACTTCCGCCAGATTTTGCCAGCAGATGTGTGAAATCCCTGGCCCCTGTTTTAGCGCGGTATTTACAGGTGTTTTGCTGGATCACAGGTCACTTCCGCCAGATTTTGCCAGCAGATGTGTGAAATCCCTAGTCCTTGTTTTCACGCGGTATTTACATGTGTTTTGTTCGGGCACGGGTCACTTCCGCCAGATTTTGCCAGCAGATGTGTGAAATCCCTAGTCCTTGTTTTCACGCGGTATTTACATGTGTTTTGTTCGGGCACAGGTCACTTCCGCCAGATTTTGCCAGCAGATGTGTGAAATCCGTAGCCCCTGTTTTAGCGCGGTATTTACAGGTGTTTTGCTGGATCACAGGTCACTTCCGCCAGATTTTGCCAACAGATGTGGGAAATCCCTAGTCCTTGTCTTCACGCGGTATTTACATGTGTTTTGTTCGAGCAC